TTGATTGATTAGGAAATTGTGTCGACTATTTGTTACTTTCCAATGACGTCACTTCCTCAATTTTTGTTGTTGAGCTAAATACTAGCTGTGCTCGCGACTTCATCCGCGTGGAATTTTGGGTATCATATTTACTTGATGATCATGAAAAGTATCAACTAAAAAGTAATCATTGTTATATATATTTTTTATTTATTTTTTCGCTCCTAATGGTCGCAGCTCGATGATTTATAAATGCCATGGCACTTATAAAAAACCTCGATGAATGGTCTATCTAAAACAAAATTGAACGATTTTTTAATTCGAACCAGCAGTTCCTGAGATTAGCGCGTCCAAATAAACAAACAAACAATCCAACTTGATGTTTAAAACATTTGCAGTGGTTTTAAAGAACTTTTGAAGGGGCCCAAATATGTTATTGGTTTTAAGTAAAATTCTTTTCCCGGATTTATAAAATACAATAAGTAGTACTCACACCTACATGACGCACCTATCTACAACCTCATACAAGGTGCTAATGCCTCAGAGAACACGTCGTTAGTCCCGGTTGTCAACTCTAATTTAGTGGCATTAGTTGTTTTAGACCGTCAACCCATTGTCGATTTAACGGTTTAAATCGGAATATATTTTAGTTAAACTTGTTTGAAAATTATTCTTAACTACGCCTCGACGTTTCGGATGCTTTGCAGCAGTCGTGGTCACGGGGAGACTGACTGTGGTCTACACAAGTTTAAATAAAATGAGGTAGGTAAGTGATACAAGTAAGGCCTACCTAATTTCAATCACTCAAAATTTGATAAATTATTCGAAGAAGGTGATAAATATATCGCGTTTTAAACCGTTAAAGTGTTTTATTTAAACACTTTTTACGGTTTAAAACGCGATATGTATTAGAGTTAGTCCGAATAATAGTGAGTTCAGCAAGGTCCCGGCCAGCTTCACCAAATACCAACTACGACGGAACAGATGACGTAGCACTTCTTACTTTTACTTTACAGACACCCTCCATCTTTAGTCTACCAGTGACCGCCGCTGTTGTAAACCATCCAAACGTCGGGCCGTAGTAAAATTTAATCTTAAAATAAGTTGCCTAATGTATCTGCGTTTTAAATCGTTAACATTGTTTTATCTAAAGCTATACAAGAACACAAAAAATAAGCTATAAAAAAAAACTTTTATTTGATGACCCTGGTGTCCAGTCAGAACTCAGACGGTATAAAACAATACTCCTTTGTAAATATTTAGCGACCGTGACGTGTTGTATGGGATTAAATTAATTTAATTAGATCGAATTACATTACACGTAGTCGAAGTGAAAACTGATTATTTAACCATGGCAAAACAAGAGGGTTATGTTTTGCAGTGTAAGCTAAATTAACATAAATTCAAATTGTCTTTTAACTTATAGCTAAAGCTACTTTATCTACGAAATTCTCTTCGATTTTGGATAATAATTTCTTTTAAACAAATGACTGTTATGAATGTCTTCAAATATCTTAGTATCAACCTCCAACTAGCGCGTATCTTTACGATAATTTAACTGACTTGGTGTCTTTCCACTTGTAATTTCCTATTCCATTTTATACTTAGCTATGGTTCATAATATGTGAATATTAAGCTTTATTACAATGTTATCGCTGTTACGAGCGTGGAAACATTAATTAATGAACTTTCTTTTTCACGCCTTTCAAATATTACCCGATGTATTACTTACTAACTTTAACTTGGACGTTATAAATAATATCTATTTTGAATGTTAAAGTTTTGAAGTACAGAATGTCTGGTGTCTCTTTTCATCTGTGGACTGTGATTCGCAACTCGAAATTAGATGTTCCTACAACCCATTCCAGATGTTCGTCGTCGTGTCGGCATTGGTGGGAATCGAACCCTGTTCTCATCGTTTGTTATTAACCATTAACTGTGCTGTGTGTGCTGCTGTGTGCACACGCAACGGTTTCCTCTAAATACAATTATTTTTCCCTGTTTTCTCCAGATTTCCCACTGTTTCTTCGCTCCTATTCATCGCAGCCTGATGAATCGTTGACTAAAGCCTTCCTCGATTAATGCTTCATCCAACAAAAAAAATAAATCGATCCAGTAGTTCTTGAGATTAGTGCGTTCAAACAAACAAACTCTTCAGTTTTATAATTAGTATTGATACATTTGACCAACGAACCAGCTGTAACAATTTATGCGTAAATAACCACAATATATCTTGAAGGTGGCAACATTATTGTGACGCAGTATTTGTTATATAACTATGTGTAAGTCATGGTCATACTGCCTCAAGGCTGTGAGTCATTTTCAAGTTTCGAGTAGTAATTTGTACAATTTGTTTATCCGTATTTGATTCGATACTATAAATAACGAGCCAATACTAAGTTAGTTTATATTTCTACATCTAATTACATATATTGTTTTTTTCTTAAACGTACAGCTTTGTATGAATTTTAATAACGTTCAACATTTCATTTTAAATTAATTAGTTTGAAGTTTATTCCGTAGTTTAAATGTGTACTCGCGGTACACATTTAAATAAAACACTAAGGGTTTAAAAAGCGATATATATTAAACTTATATACCACGGATGCTGCAAAGCATTCGAAAAGTCGTGCTGTAGTTTAAAATGATTTTCAAATAAATTGAACTAATCTATATATCGTGTTTTAAGCCGTTCAAGTATTTTATTTAAACATTAGATTCAATAATCTTTAATTAATAAACTCAGATACACAATATACAATACCAAATGTACCTTTTCTGAAATTTTTATTTCTACTTATTCAACTATTAATTTATTTATTATTTTGAAAAATACTTAAATCCCAAAAAATTTATTTGTTTTTCCTTTTTCATACGGATATTGGCGTTGTCTCCTGTGCTACATCTGCAAAGCTACTTCGTCCCAACGAAACATTTCATTTGTAAATATTGGGCATCTTTACGCCCTCTGGTTTATTCAGTTTAGTTCTAAAGTTATATTAATTAAGAAAATATCGTTTCTCTTTTTATTATCCCTGCTGAGAAAGAGACAAAAATATAAATAACCTACTGCTATACCTAATGACCAGTTCATTATACACGCTCGGTTTAACCCAAATTTCTGTAGTAATCCAGCAGTGAAAACTTTATCTCCTAAGTTGTGTACGCTTCTGTATTTGTTCATATACAGTTATAATAACGCGTTCTTTAAATTTTTTTGAGTTAAATACATCTCCTTGAATTTGCTACCATTTTTTATCGTAAGGATTAAATGATTTGCTTAGTACTACGTTAATTACGAGGTTCAGGGTTCCAAACCTGGGCAAGCAATAAATTATTGAATATTTATAAAGAAAGGACACAAAAATGTGTTCGCCCCATACAGGGAAAATAAATTACACTTTTTATTAAATTTTTTATAATTTTAAGAATAGAAAAAAAGTATTAATCACATTTAAAGGTAAAATAGGTATCATAGATCTTTAAAAATATCATAATGCATATGAGTGAATGAATATTTTCCCTAGGTGTACACATTTTTATTTTGAATCTTATTTACTCGTGTAGATAGTCAAAATCTTTTCCCACCTCCATATGTCGTATGGAGAGATGGTATTCAGAACTCAAACTCCCGACTTCACGGATTCATGCAATACTTTTCACCGTTAACGTATTTAACGGTAAAAAATATAATATGACCCCCGTGACGCTGCTGAAAACCATTCGAAACGCTGAACATTGTTAAAATAAGTTAAAGATAAATCTACTTATATAATTCGAGTTTTAAACCGTTAAAATGGTTCTTTTGCTTGAGAAGGACATAAAAGCATGGAATTCACTTGATGGGAGGTGCAACATCCATTTTGGTTTTGGATATTCATGTTTTCCACTAGCGTAAACTACAGATAATATTGTAATATATAGTTATGCATACCTTGAATTCTCTACGCGCGTGTATTACGTGTATAAGCGAGAATTTCGACGTCAATTCCATTTCAATCTAAACTCGAATCAAAAACAAAGGAAGCTGTAATAACTCCGAATTGAGCGTAATGTCTCGGTCTAATGGGCCCGGTTGCGATTTCACACGGCGCCCGCTCTTGCAGAACCCTTTCACACTGACCGTCTAGCCGTGGCCACGAAAATGGCGACGCGACGAGCGACGTGCTCGCTCCGTAATATCCAAGTCATAAACTTACCGGTCTCTTTACTTCCGAATATCCAAAGCCAAAATCGACACACACGACAGGGCATCTTGTTCAGATTACACGGCTGGGTCTGTTCTCCCCTATCATAAAAAAATCATAGTTTGATAAGTACATTGCTAGAACGTCACGGCTCGAAGTCTAGAACACTATTATAGATTATTGAAAGAGGAATTATTTCCTACATATTTATAGGTATCTCGAACCGTTCGCAGTGAACACAACGGAAGCCCTCAAAAAATTGAATAATTTGCCCCCGTTTTTTCCACATATCCCACTGTTACCTCGCTCCTATTATTTGCACCTTTATACTTTATAGCCTAAAACCTTCCGCGATAAACGCTCCAACCAACACGAAAAGCATTTTTCAATTCGAACCAGTAGTTGCTGAGATTAGCGCGTACAAACAAACAAACTCTTCAGCTTATTATCTTAGATATACTATTTAAATGTAAGCCGTTAAATTACTCAATTTTATGGTATTGAAATGAGTGCCATCTCGTAGAAACTATACATACACATCAGAGACACGAAAATCAACAAGATTTTAGCTAATTGCGTAGTCACTAGTGACGTTAAGTTGTTGATAAAGTTTTAGCTATCTCAAACGTAGACAATTGAAAATCATAGTTCACCATAGAACAGCCCAATCGCATCCCACCAGCATCCCCACCAAGCCCTTTGTCTCGTGACTGAAGTATTTTTCCTATCACAATTAATCATTTAAGATAAAACCTTATCTGCGCAGACGCAGCAGCCGCTAATTAAATTGCTTTTTGCCTAGACGTGAGCTGCGCGTGCTGGTGACGTCACGCGATGGTGCGCGGTTGGTTCCTCTTCGCTGTGCTGGGGCTTGGCTTCCTGGGTCTAGGGGCTGCCCAAGGACCAGAGAAACGTGAGTGTGAATGGCTTTATTAATGACGTAGTGGGTCAAATCTACTATATATTAGCAATACAAGTGTTATGAGGTGAAGACAGTATTAAAATTATTTTATCATATACTAGCGATTCGCCCGCCTTCGCTCGGGTGCAATGGTGATATTAAATACACTACAGAAATACTGTGAATGTTGTATTAACTTTCCTCTTGAATCCCTCTATCTATTAAAAAACCCCACATCAAAATCCATTGCGTAATTTTAAAGATTTAAGCGTACATAGGGACAGAAATAACGACTTTATATTATAAATAAATGTTTGGGGTCTTTATATATATATTTTGTACTACCGCAAGAAGATGAATTACGGACCTTCATAAAACACTTCAACTGTTTAAAACGCGAAATATACTAGTTAAACTTGTTTACAAATTATTTTTAACTACGGCCCGACGTTTCGGATGCTTTGCAGCAGCCGTCACGGGGTTGTAATATTATTATAATATAGTTAGGTAGTTAAAATAATTTGATAATCAGTTTAACTAATATATTCCGCGTTTTAAACCGTTAAAGTGTTTCATATAAATGTGTACTACTCGCATAAACTACAGACAGTGTTTAATTATGTACCTTCCTCTAATTTAGTAGATTTGTTGCAATTTTCACTTTGATTAAGTAACGGACAGGCATATATACCTATATGTCTGTTTGATAGAGTGGAATTTAAAAACATTTGCGCTGATATACAAAAATATAAGGTAATAACAGATAGCACAGGTCGCAGTTTATTGAAACTGGTCACTTTCGTATAAAATTAAATTGCGTTTCATATAAGTGAAGTCATTAAGTACTTCAGATTTCTGTGAAAAACTAAAATAGATAACATTACATTGCTATTTTAACACACGTTAACCATTCGGATGCAGAGGCGGTCAAGTGAAAGAGGCACAGAAATGTGTTCGCCCCATGCCCCACACGGCCAGATAGGACTTCACAACACACGTTAAAGCTTAACGAGCCTTTTTAATGATGATAAATATTGTGTATAGTGAAGTAAATAATTATCTGTTGTAGGCGAGTTTTACACTTTGAAAAAAAAAACGGTTTAAAACTCAAGAAACATCTAACTTATTTCTTACTACAACACGGCTTTTTGTGTGCTTTAGAGCAGACGTTGCCATGAGGATAAGTCCCCTGTTTTAAACCGTTTTTTTACTTTATTTATATTATATAAGGTTAAAGCAACGGTCTCATGATGGCATTATTAAACGATATTTGGTATAAACATTCCCACAAACGGTAGCTCAATTGGTAAGAGCAACAGCACGGAACGATGTTGATGTCGGTTCAAGACCTGCCCGTGCCGTAGAGTTTTTCAATCTAAAATCGTTTTTTAATTTAGATATTATTTGGCTGGGCTACACCTTCCATCAAGCTTGTGATCTATCTAGAACGCTTGAGACTGTACAAAGATACGTAATACAATATATAATTCTTTTAAAAACGCAACGCCTCTTTATTTGAAATACACCAATATCGAATAAGTACGGTATTTACTTAACAACCTAACAAGGTGTTTGCCAACATCGGCCAACTGGGTCACATACGCAAGGTTTATGATAACACCTAGTTTGGAACGTCATTTTAAAATAATGTGAGTAAAACACTCATCACTTGATATGAGTATACGTACTTACCTGTTTAAACACGAAAAAAAAACAATTGGTTGGTACATTAAATACTGTCTATAGTTTACGAGAGTAGTACACATTTAAATAAAACACTAACGGTTTAAAACGCGATATATTAGTTAAACTTATTTGGAAATGATCTCCCCGTGACCACGTCTGCTGCAAAGCATCCGAAACGTCGGGCCGAAGTTAAACATCATCAAATACTGTCTATAGTTTACGCGAGTAGTACACATTTAAATAAAACACTTTAACGGTTTAAAACGCGATATTTTAGTTAAACTTATTTGGAAAGTCTCCCCGTGACCACGGCTGCTGCAAAACATCCGAAACGTCGGGCCGAAGTTAAAATACATTTTCAAATAAGTTTAACTAATATATCGCGTTTTAAACCGTTAAAGTGTTTTATTTAAATGGTTGGTACATTATATAAAGCAACTTTAAACTTTTTAACTACGCCCCGACTATTCGGATGCTTTGCAGCTTTTTTGTATGCCTTCTCCCCCTGATGCTGCATAACTATAATACATTTCCCGTTTTAAACTTTTGTGCTCATGATATTTTAAAATAAAAAATATTTAATATTAGGTCAATTTTAGAACAAAGCTAACGATAATAAGACATAATAGATAGAGGATAGCGGTTCTCAAAGATTTATTTGTAGAAAGCGTTCGCGGTTAATATTTCGCGCGCTCGCTCCATTGCGCCGGATTGGACATTGCTTTTCACAGTTATTTTTTACCGTAACGCTAGAGATTCTTTCTCGATGTTTTTTGTTTTTTCTCGTGCACTTGCTGGGTGTGAAACCGCCACAAAACACTTTGTCCCGCTATTATGTCTGAAAACTTATCTATATACTTTCAGTGACTTCAATGTTAACTAAAAACATGTTTAAACCTCTTCTTGATTTTAATGTTAGTCACTTGTATGTAGTATTTATATTAATTTTGTTTTATTGTATTGTTATTAATTATTTATTGTTAAATAAAACTATTATATATCATCAAACAGCAAGTATAAAAACCAGATTTTACGTCATATCACACGCAAATAAGATATTTTAAATACTTTGTATGATAATGTTGCTGATTAAATTGTTAATTGTTTACGCGACTCATGCGCATTGTACATTTTGACGGACTCGTTGGTGGTAGAAACGTATGGCTGAACGGGTCGTAATTTCGATCCCCACCGGGTTACATTTGTTTAATCAATTTATGTGGTCAAATTGGTGGTCAAATGCAAAAGATTTTTTTTTAACTAGTCTTATTAGTCAGGTTTTTGTGGGTTTTTACGAACGAAAAAACATATTCCTTAGAGAAGAAATATCACAATATTTACTACTATATTAAACTAAGTTTAAGTCAACCACATTAATATCATTCGGGCATAATCTAAAAGACTTTATGGACCAATTATAACACACGCTAAACAAACGATAATCCACATAAAACAAAGCCCAATTTCGTGTCAGCCTTGTATGAGATTTATTTAAAGGGAGTAGGCAAAGCAATGACAAAAGACGAGCCAGCTAATAAAATAGTCAAACACCTCGTAAAGTTTGCGTATGTCTAAACTGATACAGATTGTGTGTAAACAGCCTTATCTATTGTTAATGTTGATAACGAAATTGTTACTACCGGGGTCCTATTTTCGCAACTTTTCTTCGCGTCACAAAGATAATGTCAATGTGGTTTAAGTTGTGTTCTTTTGAAATCTTTTTGAACTGTAAAAGAGGCTATTGTTAACGTGGAATTGTAAATTGCCTATTTCAGAAACTAGGCCATTGTGCTTTAATAAAATTTTGAACAATTGATAAATTAGGACACTAATGAAGCTTAAACACATTAAATATAAAAGTACAAAATAGTAACACTTAACTCGTGTCCTTGATATTTGCCAAAAACAGTAATTATTTTAACACTCTACAAAACATCCGGCGTTACCTAAAATTTGCCAAAAACACTTGATAGCTGATTATATAATAATAATAATAAACTTATAATTCGTACTTGTGGTGTTTACTATACTTTGCTTTGATAAATATAATTTAGCTGTAAAGCCACCGTTTATTCTAAAAGGTTATACTATGCTATTTTTATATAACTAAAGAATATTTGAATTTGTAAATTCTAAAAACACAAGAGTTCCGCTTTAATTGATAAGAATCGGTACTTCCCACCTTGGTCTATTTATATTCCATAATGCACCCAGGTACCACTGAATATGTTTTTCTTCTAGTAAGGTTAAAGCCCAAGTAATAAAGACTTTCCTATCACAGGAAGAACGGGCAATGTGTGTAGCACGGACGTCGAATGTCCAGACAACGCGTTCTGTAAGCAGAGCAGCTATTGTGTCTGCAAGGATGGCTTCGTCTACGCGGCGATCAATAGCACGCACAAGGGGTGCTTAAAAGGCAAGTTGATATAATATAAATTGTCTTAAATGTTTGAAAACACAACAAACACAAACACAATTTTTCACATGTTATTGCACATGAAGGCACTATATATACTGGCTGACGATGCCGGTTCAAGTCCTGCCCGAGTCGAAAAATTTTTCAATTTATTTTCGATTTTTAAATTGTCTTTAATGTTGTTTGTATTTAAATAAAACACTAACGGTTTAAAACGCGACATATTAGTTAAACTTTTTGAAAATTATTTTTAACGGCCCGACGTTTCTGGCGTTCAGCGTAAACTACAAATGTCGTTGTCCGTAGCTTACGCTGGTTGTACACATTTAAATGTTTTTAACGGTTGAAATTGTAAATAAATTGAAAAAAGAAATACGATGTGGGCAGAACAAAATCGTAATTTTGTTCAATTTATTTTCGATTTTTAAGTTATATAGTGCCAACAAGGGAAGAACAAGTCTTCAAATGGTTTAAATCGTGTTTCCTTAATACTTCGTGTTTCGAACCGTTAAAAGGGTTTTATTTAAAATAAATCGTCTATGCACTTATGCGTTACAGCAAAACGTCGAAAACCATCAACTATGATCATTGAACACAAATAGATTTGCAAGTTGGCCGCGAATGCCTTATACAAAAACTGTAAACAAACAGAGTACTGAAATACTGTCTATAGTTTACGCGAGTAGTACACATTTAAATAAAACACTTTAACGGGGAGTCTCCCCGTGACCACGGCTGCTGCAAAGCATCCGAAACGTCGGGCCGAAGTTACAAATCATTTTCAAATAAGTTTAACTAATATATCGCGTTTTAAACCGTTAAAGTGTTTTATTTAAACAGAGTACTTAATATAAAATATACTATGCTCAGATCTAAACGAGCAATTATTATTTTAATACGGAAAGAAACAATTTTGATGTAAGAAAAAAGTTGCTAAATTGAAAACTTGAACTTTCAATTCCAGAGGCGAGAAACGGCGAAGAATGCGTCCAACACATTCAGTGTCACTCCACAATGGGGGTCCACTCCGAGTGCGCGAACAATATCTGCGCATGCGCAAAGAACTCCCACTTGGAGACGGACCGATGCTACGAAACTGCGGGTATGTTCTTCTCATCATCTTGTTATCCCATAGAGTACCAATAGGTACACTAATAAGTGTATAAATAAAAAAGCACAAGATGCGCTCATGGGTGGGGGATAAACATATTTCCCGACCAAACGGGAAAAGCTAGATGGGTAAGGTAAGATGGAATCTCGATCATCGTCACAATCTTTTTGTTCCGCGTATCACTCACCCGAGGAGCTGGCGGGAGCTTGAAGAGCCCAGGCAGATGCCCCCTCTGGGCACCCTTGGCCAGCCACAAAGATGGAGAGCTAACCGTGCGATTCGTATCGCAGCCCCGGGCCAAAACATATAACAATAAAAACTAGAAAACGTTAGCTAAGGAATGCATCGCATTAGCCTGTATTAAACTATCTCCCCAAATCTGCTATATTTTATATTGTTTTCTATTAAATTAAAATATTAAGAATTAATCAGGAATTATATTTTTTTTTATCTTACAAAAATGTGTTGCTATTTCAGTGGTCGGTGAACGATGTGTTGTTGACCAGAACTGCTACCTTGGTGAATCTGGACCGGACCGTCAGGCATTCTGCGTGCGAGGTTATTGCACCTGCCAACTCCAATTTAGCCCAAGGGATAATGGGACTAGGTAAGTTTCTTATTATAACAATCGTTCTATACCTACCTAAACTAATACGTGACATAATTCGGGTTTTAATAATTAGTTAATTGCGGATTCTACATTATATTGATCCTTCGAGCCGGATGAAAATGCTACATTCTGACTTGAATGCACTAAATTGTATATGATTATGATAAAATATTAGATTAAGTCAAAAAATATCTATTTGTCTAGCTAAGTCAACTACTTAGCTACACTTACACTTATGACCATCATTACAGTTAATTATTATCGATTTTAAAACAATTCTAGATACTACTAATAATAAGTTCATCAAAGTTAAATTTTTTTTTGACCGTAATAGATGTGTCCGCGATGCCCTGTTAGGCGAAGAATGTGAAGACAACTTGCAGTGTGCTGGTCCAGGGCTGGAGTGCAGAGGAACCTGTCGCTGCAGAGACAATTGGGTCGCTCATGACGAGATTAACGCTTGCGTCGAGTGTGAGTTTAATTATTATCTCTTTAATAGCTGTCACTACTGAGAAGACTCTTATTATATGATTATGTACTCAACAGCTGCAAAATTGCTGAACGACCCTTGTCAGTATGATGTACAATGTGAAGCCTTGTCTGGGGTAGCTGAAGCGAAATCTGTGGGCGCAGCCTTGTGCCTCGGAGGCGTGTGCTCTTGCGCATATAACGCCCGACCGGTTGGCAGCCCCGCTCACTGCTGGCAGAGACGACGTCCCGGACAAGAGTGTATTCGTGATGAGGTGAGCCGTCAAAATAATGTGATTCAGTTATTTATTTAAACACGAAATATATTATTTTGAAAATTATTTTACCTAGCCCGACGTTTCGGATGCTTTGCAGCAACCGTGACCACGGCATATTTTCAAATAATTTTAACTAATATATTTCGCGTTTTAAGGGTTTTATTATAAAGTGCACTACTCGCGTAAACAGCATTTAGTATTCAGTTATTTATTATAGATAGAAAAAGTATTATCTGTGGTGCCAGAGTAAATTATATAAAGGTTCTTTTGTCGGTCAATAAGTATTTTGAAATCGGATTTGTTATTGTTAATTTATTTAGTAAAAAGTAAAATCTAAAAATCTTTGATCTATATACAGTTCACTTTCTTTCTTCTTAAATTGTTATAGGAATGTGTTTCTGAAGAAGACGAACCCGGATACTGTCTTGCTGGGCGTTGCACGTGCAAAACGTGCTCGCCCGACGCAAGCGACTTCGGCGGCGCTAGCACCCTTTCAACTCCACCGATCTATATAGCGGCCATCTTGTCCATCGCCGCCATCTTGAGACACTAGCCAGACGTCACTGTCAAAACTGGACAGACTATAACATCAAGTTGATATTTCAAAAAAACAGATACTTATTATAAATAATGAATTATTATATTTATTGTGCATCCTAAATTTATATATTTACGGATTGGATTAGATATTTGCACATCTTGAATGATAGATACGTTTTTAAAATGTTGGATTTCAAAGTTTATAATAAGTTGTAAATAATATTGTTGATTTTTGTTGATTAATGTAAGCGTAGATTTAATGCAGTTCTTCCGATGTCGCGACAGTATTTTTCGAGTGCAATTTTTTCGATATAACAAGAATAAAATAAACCTGAGTAGTTTTATACCAAAGAGAACGTGTACACAGGAATATCGCGTGTAAATAAAATATTTATTTTACTATATTGTTTTATTTCTTTTATGTATGCATGGCAATAAGTTATTAGCTATTAAATATTCTCTGTAGTTGACGCGGTTAGTACACACTTCAATAAAACACTAACTGTTTAAAACGCGATGTATATTAGTTAAACGGCTGCTGCAGTCTCCGTAACGTCGGGTCGTAGTTCAAATAAGTTTAACTAACATATATCGCGTTTTGAACCGTTAAAGTATTTTATTTATATTCCTATTATTTACCTAAACATCCGTTGGTGGTGCTTGAACGCAAAATGCAATTGGAAGAGTGTTTCTGGAACTCGAATTTGTAGTGAATGAAGCACGTAAAGCTTTTCGCACTGTTGGTGAGCCAGCTGAATAGACGAGTGGGTTCAAAGCGGAGTTGAGATAACCGAGCCAGGTGCACCACTGCCATGCTGAATCCCAGACACAGTCAAATACGGAATCTGTGAACAAAGATCAATAAATAGGATCATAGATTTACATTTGACAGTATAACTTTTTTTAGGAAACTACCCTCTCTATGGCTCGATTCCAAGTATCAAAGGAAAAAAAATGTTGCCATGCTCAATGTTTGTTTGACCTCCTCCATCCGAGAGTAACTAAATTCGCCCACGATGTTCTTTTTTATACATCATAGGAGGGTGGATATGTTTATTTGTGTTGATAGTTTTTTTATGATAGAGACAGACAAGCCTACAGTTTTATCACGAAAAATACCCCAGCTATATTATAACATCTCTAGATGCGCTGCCGGCTTAGGTTTTGCGTTTTTAATAATTAATTATTTAATTAAACGTTACCTGTATATAAACAAAATAAAATCAGGAAGACCATAAGACTCCATAGTATTGCTTATTCGACTAAGTTTGAGTTTTGTTTAATACTTTTGTAATTAACGGCACCAAGAGAATAAATTGTGCTGTGGTCTTATTTTCTAAATAACATACCCAAAGGTAACATGATGAAAAACGGTGCCCAGCAAACGAGAAAGAGAGCCATCAGCATAATTATAGTACGAGTTGCGCGTCTCTGTCGGGTCATTAGGCCGCCTCTGAAAACGGAAGATTTGTTTTTACACTTTTAACAATTTAAAACGCATTCTATTGTATTATTTTACTTATTTTCAATCTCTATTCCTTTTTTCTAAATATCTACAAGATGGCGGTAGCGTTGCAGATTTTTTACTATGACATTAGGAACACCCCCGTGACCACGGCTACTGAATCCGAAACGTCGAGCCGTAGTTAAAATTAATAGTAAATAAGTTAGTGATAGTTTTGTTTACTATTTCCGTGACGTTAATTAACAAATAATTTGTTTTTTACATGTTTGATCGAGTACACATTTATAAAATGGTTTTAAAAGTGGTTCTACATCTCCCAGTAGTCTTTCCCGCAATGGACCTTTACTAAACATAATATGGCGCAAAATATATAAATAGTTGTAAGACTAATTCTAGAAAAATCTCTTATCAGTCTTAACTATAGATAAAATATACATATACCCCCTACAGCCACGAAAGAAACGCAACTCCACTTACAAAGTGCGCGGTGATCTCAAAGGGGAGGGTAGCTTTATGGACTTTGAAGTTCCTGGTATATTTAGAATCTTGCCCTTTCGTGTTGTACATCTGTAAACCGTTGATTGATTGTTACGATCCAAACTATAAAAAAGCCACCAAAGATGAAAAATTATGTTTTATAGCGTAAAGGCCTTACGCTATAAAACATAATTTTTCTTTCCAGAATTACCTTCAATTCAAACTACAAGTTTTTGAAATTCGCCTGTTCAAACAAAAAAATAAAAGAACTGTTCAGCTTATATTAGTACAGTTGTACTTAGTTGCTTTTGATAGCTACATTAGTCACAAAAGAAAGTTTTATAAACTCAATTCACTCACGTTGGAGCAACATCCGCTTTTTTATCGTCTTTAGGAGCATGATCTGATGCATCCGTAGCTTCTCTCGATCTCCTTTGTGCTTGATTCTGTAAAAAGTATTGTGTCTAGCTTACGCGAGTAGGACACATTTCAATGAAACACTTATAACTGTAGTAATAATTTTATTTAACTTACTTAAGATTTGACCTTTAAATTAAAAATAAGTTAATTAAAATATTCCGCGATTTAAACCGTTTAAAGGAATTTTATTTAAATCCGTTACATTTAATTCCATCTTTTGTATAAGTCTATCGTCTACATAGCCTCTCTGTAGCCAAATTTTTAAAAGTGTTTCCTAGCGTTAAGGACGAGAGGTCCTGGATTCGAATCCCCGGAAACAATAGATTATTTCGGACGGACAGAGCACAGAAGTCGGATCAAATACTTGCCTGTAAAGAAAACTGATTAATAAAACGGGCACAAAAATATGTTCGCCCCATGCCCCATAGGTGGAAACGAGATTTCCCAGTCTATAGGAGGTTGACCGGTTTAAGCATTTAAATTTACACTTAGATGTTGTATTTTATCAAATAAATTCTTTATAACAACTTTGGATAGTTAAAAGTACTCCTCTCGTCTATTTTCTTTCGTGTTCTTATTTCAAATTTTACGCTCTGAATCCTATTTGTATGTCGTGCAGTACCTGCGTTTCCTGATTTGGTGACCTTCCCCTGTGCACACGAATAGGTGGGGGAGCAGCCAGAGCCCGTAAAATATACCCGTACATCACAAGCATCATTCCAGCCGGGAGGTAGAAAGAGAAGGAGATACTGAAGAATACGTAGCTTGAAAGGGAAGTAAAATTAAAATTAGTAAATACTGTCTATAGTTTACGCGAGTAGTACACATTTAAATAAAACACTTTTAACGATTTAAGCCGCGAATTGTTTCATTTAAATTTATTTATTTTCAACCCGCAGCAGTTGCGGGTGCATTTTTTGATATTACCCTCTATCTTCAGCCCCCCCATGACCACGGCTGGTGCATAGCACACAAAACGCCGGGTCGTAGTTTAATCAACATTTCGCATTTTAAACCGTTAAAAGTTTTAATTTGTTTTATTTTATTCTATTTATTTATTTTTCCCGCACCTAGTTAGTTAACTTACTGTACAGGTATCTATATAAACATCGTATAGCTTACCCAATATTAGTATTAACAGTGCAAGCTTTAGCCATTTCACCGGGATGAAAGTGTCGTGGAGAAGGAATGAACGCAGTTGGTAGGGCCACGGCACTGGCTACAGGCCAGACAATGCAGGCTAACAGTCTGGCTTTTTTCGCTCGTCTGGCTCGTGCCAGGGGTGCGGTGATGCCACACCATCGCTCCCAACCCAGAACGCAAAGCGACAAGATGGAGGCGGTACAGCATAGCACATCCATTGTACTCCAGAAAACACAGACGGCGCGTGCTGTAATATATATGTAAAAGAATTAATCAATAACAATAGTTGTACAATAATCTTAACATATTATGCTTGCCGTTAAGTATTGCTAATAATTTACGGGTCGAGGGTTCGATCCCCCACCGTTTCAAATTGTTCAATTTATATTTTTCTGAAACATTTTGGACTTCGTCTGGAAATCTGGATCCATATCTTCACGAACCACCGTCCACAGATCAAAAACCTATGAAGCTTATAACGTTTCGGTTTCAGACTGTGTGTGTGACAATCCATCAGATTTCCAAATATCCAATGCCAAAATGGGTCGACAGCGCATCTTGCTTAGATGCTATAGGCTGGGGTATATCACCTACCATGGGGCTCACTTAGCCCCATGCCCTCCTGTCTTCCTACATAAACTAACCTAACCAAAAACTAAATATATATTTCAAAACCACTTACGCAAATGAAACACAAACAATTCCCTCGCTGTAGCGATAGGCAGTACCACCAAACCCACCATGAAGTCAGCTACCACTAGGCTACTGAGTGGATAGTGTGTAGGAGATCTTTTAGCTCTGAGTAGCGCAGCGATAACTGACACATTGCCAATAAGTGTTGCAAAGGTGATGAGTGCCATGGCGGTTCCAGAGACCCACCAAGACGTGGTGGTCTCACCGCGTGGTGGTAGCACTAAAAATAAAATACTGTCAGTAGTTTACGCAAGTAGTGCACATTTAAATAAAACACTATTGTATTTTAGAGCCGGTGGTCGGGAGATGGGATATGCCAAGCTTCCGAAATGTCGCACCGTAGTTAAAATAATTTTTAAATAAGTTTAACTTATATATATCGCATTTTAAACCGTTAGTGTTTTATTTAAATAAAATCGTAATCATATGTAAAGACCTAGCCATGCGAAATGGTTTTGTTGCGATAGCAAATACTTATTATATTTGCATATTTCTTCCGGACTTCCTAGATGGTAGGAATTTAGTTGTAGGAATATCAACATTTAGATTTTAAACCTATAATAACCACCCGTTACATAATGCATAGAATAAATACAAAAGCAAAAGAAGTTTAATCTTGCAAGATCAAAAACATTTTGCCTTCAATAATTCTTAATAAACATATAACTAATAATAATTTAGTAATTATAAATACTTACTTTTTAATTTATCCTTAACTTATTATTATATTTACACATTTTATCACACTTTGTAATAAATATTATTTGTGTTTATGTTTTGAAAAACAATTGCATACTAAGAGGGTAGTTTTGTAAATGTCAGCAAATGTGTGGAATGTCAATTGTCAATACCCGGTAGTATTTACTACAGATATAATGATTTTTGTACGAAATAAATAAAATACTTCACTTATTCGCATTAACATTCCAAATTATAGTATAGATATTCAAAATAAATATACCTTATTATCTTTAAATTTGAAAAAAATATATTCAGATTCGTTAAAATAAGATGAAAAATGTTTGTCTGTCCGACCGTCGTGATTTTTACTGAGTATACGTATTTAATAACACAGTTTTAATAATATATTTTTTATCTTAATTAAATAAAAGCAAAACAACACTTTTTCTTTATTCCTTTATTGTCAGTTACGGGGAAAATATAAAATCTTATTCTCCTCACATTAAAATCTTACAGAGAAATGCATTCCATAGGGATAATGATAAAAATGTATTTACAGACGACCTTAATTAACTATCCGCAATATTTTGATACAATACTTAAAAGGCACAGATTTGAAGATCTTGCGACATTTTATTGTGCCGAATAACCGTTCGATAACAATCGAATGGTTTTACAATTCGATTTCGTATAATCGATAATCGATTTAATAACTTAAGCTGGGCATTTCCTAATACATTCATGTATTTTACACTTTAATGATTTACAATTTGTACTTAACGCGCTTAGCTTTACGATTACAATTTTAAAAGAATGCATTTAAGGAAGCACGCGTTTCTTACATCGTACCCTAGACTATGACGTCATTCTATGAGTTCGTTTTTAACTAGGCTGTGGAATGTTGTTTCGGAATGTTATTCGATATTTAACAAGAAAACACGACAAAAATCTATCAGTCATCCAAATATTCAATAGATGGCGTTGATTTAAATTCATATATAGCAAAATTTGCAAAATTATTTCATAGATATCGCTATAACAAATTAGCTACAATCTCATAGAATCGACGCCTTACACTAAATTACTGAGATAAAGGGTACCGGTTACAGGCTCATTGGCACATAACGATGACACAAACAAACTTACAGCTAAACATTAAATATAAAAAGTTGCTATTTACATAGGCGTACGTAATCTTAAATTTATATGATACAATTGTATATGATTTCATATTTGAGCATATGGTCCCAACGTTTAGATAATGGAATGATGAGATCTCTTATCGTGCTTGAGGTGACGTACGATAAAAACACTTAGTATTTAAATACTTATAAATGTTTAAACATGGTAAGTAAATTTCTGGAATGTTTTAATACAAATTGTAGATGAATACAATGTAATTGATATAGAAGTTGTTTTTAGTAAAGAAATGCAAAATGTGCGTCACCTCATTAGTAACAATAAAATTGGAAGCAACAATGGAATGATTCGGCATGAGCGGTAAACAATATCAAATGAATCCTAGCTTCGACACGTATAACGAATGATTAGGCTCAAATCTCAGTTTCATAATTTAACGACATAACCTAATATATAATCTACAAAGTACAAATACGTGCTAGATCACACATAAATTATTTATTACGAAAATCTCGCTAAATCTCATAAGCAAAATATGATTAACACTACCTTTAACAAAAACAACAATGTCGCGCTATAAAAATTCTGGTGTATTCGATCGTATATATTCCAACATTTAAAGATATGTGAGAATTTTCTTAGAATAAATTACTTAGCCACTAAGTGTCTATAGTGTGAACATACACCTGATTTGACAATCGCAAACCTATCTACGTCATGGCTGTACATCAGTCTATACGCTACGGCACAAGCACCTTCAGATTTAGTCTATGGTGCTGTTGATATACGTCCTTATTCAAATCATACCATTTTAAAATTGGAAACAAAATGTCAAACCCGAGAGTATAACAATATCATCGATTAAAAAACACATTCCAAATTCAAAATTTAACTGCAATTCCAAATTGGAATTGTACAGTTTTAAAATTCTAAACAACATTCAAATCGGAACAATTTCATACGCGATGTTATGTTATAAAAAAATTCATTCGAGTTAAAAACAATGTCGAAATGTCAGTATTGACTTAAGTTGTATAGCGAATGCTAATATGGAGCTAACAATATTTGTTTAAATAAAAATTGCATGTTTAAATATAAATGGCCTCCGTTGCGCCCTTGTTAGATTGTTGTATGTCGTTAGGCGATAGCGCGGCTCGATCCGACCAGTCCGAGTGGGGGGATTGCGTGAGCGGCGTTTGAGGTGACGGTGTGGACCAATGGTCGGGGGATTCTGGGGAGGGGGTGGGGAACGTGTCGCCCATGCCCCAACTGCCGTATAGACCTGAGGAAAAAAAAGGAAAAAATAATATAAAAGTAACAACGATGAACAAGCATTTAAAATGATATATCTGCTAATATTATACCGGTATCAATAAAATTAGTTTAGTCTAACGGATTTATATCTAAACTAATATAGAGAGCTGAAGAGTTTGTTTGTTTGAACGCGCTAATCTCAGGAACTCCTGGTTCGAATTGAAAAAATATTTTTATGTTGGTTAGAATGTTTATTGAGGAACGGTATAGGCTGTAAAATATTACACAAATAGAGGTAGATGTGAAAAAAAGGGGACAATTACTCCCTCTTTGTAGGTTTCGGATTCGTACGCAGCGAAAACGGTTCAAGTTCAAGATACACAAAAAATATGCACGAGAGACTCATTCTAAAAAATATTTCGTGACGCTATATGTCTATCTTTTAAGATTAACTTGCAAGTACGACGGAAAGAGAGATGGCCGACGTCGTGGGTCACAGCTTAAGTTTATAAAGATTAATTAATTAGAAGGGGTATGTAAAAACGCGAATTTGGATGTCCAACACAACCATTCTCGCGGACAAAGTCGCTAACACAGCTAGTAATATTATATAACTCACCGGACATGATATTGGTGATCGCGGGATGATGAGCCCCCTGCGCGTGCGACAAAGCCACTGCGTGCGTCATTACAGCTTGGAGTTGAGCGTTGTGTTGACCGTTCGCACCTATAAGCGATATGGTAAAGAGTTAAATATAACAAACAATGCTAAAAGTCTGTCATTAATAAAAACAATATGAAAGCGGTTAATCCTGTTATTTTAAGGTAATAAATGTTTTTTTTTTCAGCCCAAACACTCAAACTAAATAAATGTCAGTCTGTATAAATAATAGAGAACTCTTATTGTTATAAAGAAGATAGAATGTTATAACCGTCAAGTTACACTATATACTTACTTAGATGCGCAAGCGCAGAATATGCTGCGGCGTCTAACTGGTGTTGATGATGGTGACGCATGGCCGCCATGTGCGCGGGAGATGTCGGCAAAGACGGCCGCGATTTGCCAGGCGAAGGAGAACCTTTAAATAATATAATGTGTTTAAAATGACGTTAAAAAGCAAAGAATTTAGTTAATTCCAAATCACAGCTTAAATATATAAAAAATTACTAAAATGCAACAAAATTTCAAGTACTAAGTATTTTTTGTTTTGAAAGAATGTATATTCATTATGTATTATTATTGAACTAGACCATATCAGGTTGCAATTTTATAACATCTTATATGCCAATGAAGTTGTGTGAGATGTTTACTTAAATCTAATATACTGGCTAAAAATAACATATTTCGTTCTATACAGTAGCAAGTATTTACCTATATAGGCATGCGGTGACGTAGTCTGGTTACTGTGTGCGGGGGAGTGGTTTGAGTAAGGCGGTGACAGGGATGCGCCTGCGCCGCCCCCGAACTGAAGCGCGCCACCCGACTGTAAAGGAAAGGTATTTTAATAAGAACCTTTTTAACAATTACAAATATGTTGATGTGATTGATGATTGAGGTGTAAATCTTGAGTACAAACACAGTGTACTTATGCCGTTCCTCTTTGAAACAACACCTTTTGCCTTTTGGAAATAAATAAACTAGATATTTTATTTATTCTTATACCTAATTGAAATAAAATACTTTAACGATTTAAAATGCAAAATATATAAGTAACTTATTTTTAAATTATTTCAACTATGGCCTGACGTTTCGGACGCTTTTTTGTGTAAACTACAGATAATTTTTATAGCTTATGATAATTATCTAATTAAATGAGGTATATGCAAAGCATGGTAATAATGAGTGAGTTATTTTAAAGAGCGCTTTATTTATAATTATAAGGGTTACCTTGACGCAGTCCTCATAGCTTGGCGGTTGCTTGTGGTGCACCAGTTGCTCCATTCCGGGGAATTGCGCCATTGCGTTTGAGTATAGCGACGTCGCGTCGTACGGCGACGGTAGATCCTGAACGTAATGAGTGAACGATTGAACGAGTGAAGTATGTTCGAGTTTTAAGTTATATTTTAGTTCCTCGAAAACACCTCATACCAAAAACATATTAGGTAATAAAGAATTTTAACTTTAAAGTGCAAATGATTGTTTGAGCGAAGCAAGATGATGTAATGAATGAATAAACTAAGACTTAAGACTCACTTGTAAATTTTGTAGCGGTGATTCTACAGGACTCAAACTGAACCCTAGAGACTCGACGCTTTGTGGAACCTCTTGCGCAACTTTCTTATTGTTCTTTTTTACACTTGGTTTCCTGCGAAATATCGAATAGATTAAAATATTGCAATCTTAATTGTTCTGGCGTTAAAAGCGTAGATGTTGATAATTACATAATTATTTGAAATATACATACTTACTTTTAAAACATTTAGTGGCACAAATCATTCTATTAAGAACAAAATCAAAAATAGTTACAAACTTCTGACATCTAACGTACCGTCTAATTTGCGACGCCTGCAAATTATTATTGTCGTATTGGTCTTGCGGGCTGTCTGGCCCGGCTTTGGCTCTTGCCTTTTTGGGCTTGCCCTTTGTCGCTGTCGCACTGATCACAGTCGGCTGACTGATGAGTTGTGGATGAGGGTTTGGCGATGCTGAAAACAGAGATTATAATCTTTAATCAACATACATAATTTAAATGGAGTGGCGGCGAGGTTCTTGACAGTTATCGTTCTTTCTACGCCCTTGATTTTAGAACTGGTACTCAATTTAAATTTGTAGTCTTTAGTTTCTTTGAATAAATAGTTTTTGACTTTGAGACTAAATAATTGCTTAAACATTTTTGAAAAATGCAGCACACAACACAAAGTAGGATTTTTGTTCAAATAGTGATTTTCTTCTTTTTTCGACTACATTGCGCGTGAGATGCATGTATGAATAGGTTGAAAAATTCGAAAGGGCGTGTTGGACACGGTTGCTTAATTATTTAGAGCATGGACGCTGTGGATGCCGCCGCAAGTCCTGCCCGTCTCCTAAATTTCACTGTGACTTTTAAGTATATACTTACACATAAGATGATGGTGCTGTGGCCTCGGGCAGTGTTCGTCCAGCAACCTGACTATGTCGTCGTGCATTCTCTCCTGAGCAACGTCCCTCGGCAACCGGTCCATGTGGTCTGTGATCTCTCTGTTTGCCATCGCATCCAATAACGCTTTACAAGCGCCGTACGACCCTTCTCTTGCACCAAGGAATAAAGGAGTCTCATCCTATAGACAAATTTATTATTTAGTTAAAATCACTAAGTTTTAGATGTTGTCTGTAGTTTACGCGAGTATACGCTTAAATTAAATACTTCAACGGATTAAAACGCGATATAGATCAGTTAAATTTATTAATAATCGTCTCCCCATGACCATAGCTGCAGCAAAGCATCCGAAACGTCGGGACGTCATTAAATTTATATTAATTAAAGCAAATTATTTTACTTCGAAATAAAACAAAAAGCCTGCAGTAGATTCGTAAGCATAATTGTCTGATATTGATTTGCATATATTTGAAAGTTTGTTTCTAAAATATCTCTTTATATTTTTTCTTATTTTATTAAGTATCTCTAAAAAATCATACCTTATCATCTTGCGCATCTCTGTTGGCGCCATGCACGAGCAGAACATTGACAGCGTCAACGTTATTAACAGCAGCAGCCCAGTGCAGCGCGGTTTTGCCGCTGTTGTCTGCGGCATTGATGTCCGCGTCTGCATTTATTAGATCTTCCACCATGCCTTCTATGGCCAGCCTGGTAAGAGAAGCATTTATGTATTGAATAAATTATTTAACTATATCATTATTATTGTTATAATTACAAAATAACAAGTATTATATTTATTATTTTAACATTCTTCAGAGAGTGGTAAATTATATGGTGTGTGGATGGTGTCACTATAGTAGTGAATATTTATATCACATTTTAACAGTTTAAAACGCGATATATATTAGTGAAACTTGTTTGGAAATTATGAAAAAAATCGACATAAGTTTAACTAAATACATATTGAATTTTAATAGGTTACTGTTTTATTTAAATGATCTTAGCCATGAGCTTACCTAGCAGCCAAAATAAGCGGTGTAGTTCCATCGTGCATCCTCGCATTTAAGTTGGTAGCTCTGTTTCGTAATAGAATCTGGAATACGCCCATGGCATCTGCTGCAACAGCGGAATGTAAGGGAGTTCTACCAGTGTTGTCTTGGGAGTTAGCATCAGCGCCTGCATCTAGGAGGCGTTTGGCTGCATCAGCTCGTGCGTACCTAAAAAGACATGATAGTAAATAACAGGCCTAATAGTCAATAATCCTTAATATTTAAGAAGTAAAAGTGAAAGGACATATTTTGACATACTATTAACAAAGTTAAGTTTCCCTAAGACATATAAATAAGAATGATTTCGATAGTGGTACTGAAATTCGTTAAAAAAAACTCTTTCTTATTGAACTAATGTCTCAACTTTTGTTTAATACATTTCCTACAAAAATTTACCTTGCTGCTAGATGTAAGCTAGTTTCCCCAGTCTTGTCCATAGCGGCGTTGAGCTGAGCTCCTTGCGCCACCAATTCAGATATTATATGGGCCGTCTGTTCATCTTCGACATCTGATCCGGTGTCCAAGCCTCCACCTCTGATAGCCGCAACCATTAATGGTGTCATGCCGAGGGGGCCACGAGCGTTGACGTCTACGTGACCGTCGTGCTGTAAAAATAATAATATTATTATCTAGTCCAATGTCGCTGATATTGTCTTTAAATAATATATCAACAATATATACAAAAAAAAAATTAAGAGTTGCCTGGAAGATAAGGCCGCCCGTTGCTCTCCATAACTAGTAATATTATTTTTTTAATACTTTGTGCAGTATTTGTACACACTTTGTGTGTGTTGCAATTAAGAGTTAAATTAATTAAAATACTCACGATAGCAGGAGGTGTCATCATGCTTGGTGGAACGCGGATATCAGCAGCATCCAAGTGTTGTTGAGTCCAGACGCGACCGGGATCGTGACTTGCCTCCTCATAATCGGTGATAGCTGTGTGGTCTGAGGCGTAGCCCCCTGGAGCACCATTGGAATCCCCTGGTCCTCTCGCCCTCTTAGCTCGTGGGGGAGCGGAACCATCATCATCTTCATCAGACCAGTGTGGAGGCACCATATGACCGCCGTTGATGTCCACATCAATACAACCCATGGACCCTTTGTTCAAATTTCTCATCTCTTGTCCATCTGGTCCTCTGCGTCTTGAACGGCGTCGCGATGAGGAACTGTTAGTCATGAATCCTTCTGGGAACCATGTCACACCTTGCATACGCTTTCTCTGAGCAGTCACTAAGACACCAATCAAAAGACCAGCTAGCAAGACCAGAATTACTCCGATGAAGACGTATTTGGAGTTTGTTGGGAGGTCAGGGCTGATGATAGAGGGAACACCTTTGACTTGATAGATAGGAAAGTCTGAAGATAGAGAATGTTTCGACGCGGTAGCCGCTAAAAAGTCGGCTGCTTCGCGAGCCGAGAAGAAACATTCTGAACTAGATAAGGTGGTACACTTCCTGTTGTCGATCTCCAAGTACACTTGTACCCCTGATTGGCCTCTCTCAGTGAACACAATGTGATGTTTCTTGCCAAACTCTGTGTCCTGTAAGCCGACATCTGTCGAGCCTTTCCAGGGGTACACCATGTCATTGCCTAAATGGTCTTTCTTAATCAAAATCGTAGTTCGTAGCTGATGTCCTAGATCCCGGAGGAAAGCGACAGAGTTCTCCTTGAATGTTCTCATGTCCATTAGAAGGATAATTGAGATTACGCCTTCCGCTAGATCGGGCGGTTCGTTCTCGCAGTCCAAACCGTCCCAGTTACATTCAGCGTTGTTACAACCGTAGTCACAGTGTCCATTGGCGTAATGCTTCTGACAGTAAGCATCATAAATTGGATTACATTTCTGTAGGGACTTCTCACAATCCCTTCCATCGAATAAACAAGCTTGAGTGTTGCATACTTCATTACATTCGCCGTTCATGAAGACTTCCCAGCATTTAATAGGTGCAGTGCAGTTGGCCCAGGGATTGATGCCAAGAGAACAGTCGTTACCGTCGAACTCGCACGCAAAAGTGTTGCACTCTTCATCGCAGTGATGGTCACCCTGTTTCTCTTTGCAGCCCATCTTCACACATTGCTCCCTTTGGAAGGCCAAATCTAGCTCTTGGAGTGTTAATGTCGGGTTCTGGCCGTACACTCCCGTCACTGGACTTCCATAACCGCCTCTCGAGTGGGGGTCGTGGATGTCACACATCTTGCCGGTCCATTGTCTGGGGCAATAGCACAAGAAGTCCCCGGGTTTATCTATACAACGCGCTTCCGGGTGTTTGCACGGGTTACTTAGACACTCGTTCATGGAATCTATTTCGCAGTTGATACCGGATAAACCAGATGGGCAGTCGCATACGTAATCGCCAATTTCTGATGTACGGCAGTAGCCACCGTTCTGACAAGGGTTCGAATCGCACGCGTAGCCGGAATATTCGCAGTTCTTTCCGTAAAACCCGTCGCTGCAGAGACATTCGTGCCCGCCCTGTATCGCAGTGCATATACCTCCATTCTGGCAAGGCGAGTTCGCGCAGAAGTTAACCTTAGCATCACAGTGTCTTCCCATGTACCCAGGTTTACAGTTGCAGTGGTAGTCGTTAATCAGCTGCACGCAATCCTGTGTTCCGGGGTTAGAGCAGGGATTGGATAGGCACTCGTTAATGTCTCCTTCGCACCGGGGGCCGACGAAGCCAGCTGGGCACTTGCATTCGAAGCCTCCAACTTTATCTATACAGGTGCCGTTGTTATGACAGGCGTCTTGCTTACAATCGTTCACGTTGATTTCGCATATCTTTCCCAGAGTTCCGAAGGGGCAAGAGCATGAGAAGTTGTTAATTAGATCATGACAGGTGCCGCCATTCTGACAGGGGTTAGGCAAGCAGTCGTTAACGTTCAACTCGCAATTCTGCCCTTGGAAACCTTTGGCACACTGGCACTGGTAGGTACCGACGAGATCTTTACATAGAGCGCCGTTTTGGCAAGGCGCGGAATCACACTCGTTGATCTCCTTCTGACAATAGGAGCCCGTGTATCCTTCTAAGCAGTGGCAGCGGTGGGAGTTGCCAATGTCTTCACACGTTCCGTTGTTGCAGAGTTGTTTTAGTTTTACACCTATGGAAACACAAAGAAGTTCATTAATACTATTATATGCAAATATTTCTCGTTCTTAAGTTGTAATTTTTATTGTATAATTACTTATTGTATATAATCACATATAACTATGTTTTTTTCCTAAATGTGTTAGAATATATACTAACAACTTTGATGCTAGTGATAGTGACACAGATAGATACAGACAGTAGGAAATATATATATACTGTTTGTTCTTTACGCGGAAACTTTAACGGTTTAAAACGTGTTATATATTAGTTAAACTTATTGTACATTATTTTTACTTTGGCCCGACGTTTGGATGCCTTGCACCAACCGTGGTCATGGTAATAAGAATCTCCAGATAACTTTAACTAATATATATCGCGCCTTAAACCGTTAAAGTGGTTTGTTCAAAAATACATATATTATAATAGAGCAAACTCGTTAAAGTACGTTGAAAATGATTTATTGTAAATAATAAATATAATCTAGTTATAACGGTAATATGTAAATTCATTGTTTGTATTTTACATAAGAAGAACGTACTTTTCCTAATGCTTGCGTCTTTGCAGGACACCATTTCGACGTCACAAAGCTTTCCTGACCAGCCAGGGGCACATGTGCACGTATACTGCGGTCCCTTCTGCGAACACGTTGCGCCGTTCTCGCAGGGATTGTTTTCACACCTTTGAAAATAATTGTACAATTAAAACCATCGCCATTTACTATTCTCATAATAGTAATAGAAATCAATCTATACTAATATTGTGAAGCTGACGAGTTTGTTTGAACGCGCTAATCTCAGGAACTGTTTAATATACCCAAAAATATTAATAAAAGAATGATTCAACTATAGGTCTATCTTTTAAGATTAACTTGCAAGAAACAGGACTCTGACGACGTAGTGGGTTATTTTAACTAATAAAAGTAGATCATAGTAGAATAGTAGTAGAGAATCTTGATTCATAGAAACCAGTCATTATTTTGAGGTCTTGCAATATTTTTCTTCTTTATGCATACTTGATCTAGTTTATTTTTAGAAAGTTCAGGCGGCTTAACTAGTCCAGGGAACGTACGTTGCGTTTTGATCACTATTTTATCTGCTGTGTTTGTTAAAACTACGTTCTTAGCACCTAACCTTCCCCAACAGAAATAGACTTGTGCCCGCAGTGGGAATGAAAAATAATTACTTACCAGTCGACGTAAGCTTCACAGTGTTTCCCAGTGTATCCGTAAGGGCAGTGACAAGTGTAGTATGTAACATGGTCGTGGCAGGTAGCGCCATTGTCGCAAGGGGAACTGTCGCACATGTTGATTCGGAATTGACAGTTGGATCCGGTGTATCTAGAAAGAATAAAATTGATTAGGGTTAAAAAAAATTGGTAGAAGTATGTAGGGTTCAAAAGGTCAGAAAAGTTTTGTATTTTTTCACATGTTATTGCATATAATGGCACTATATAGATAGGAAATTGAATCTAGATTGACACATTTTTACGACACGGTCAGGAATTGAACCGGCATCCACAACGTTCCGTGCTTCTCCTCTAACCGATTCTAGCACTTGGTAGCTCAGCTGATTAGCTGAATCCCGCTCGTGGCGTAAATTTTTTCAATGTAAACTTGATTTTGAATTTATATAGACTTCAAGAGTTTCAAATATTCTCGGACCAGATGACCATTGTATATAAACATTTATTTACTGCCCTTCGTGTAGCGATTAAGTATTCAAAAACAGGTGTTAACTTAGCCCTTGTGGAACTTTTTATGATTGAGAAGGACAGCAATCTTGGGGTTCACGTGATGAAAAGTAAATTACCCCAGCACCATTACATCTAACGTGTGCGCTGGCGTCCTATTACTATTGGCGTCAGTATGTTAAAAACATAAAATTAAATTATAGACTTATGTTAAGAGACAAATGTTAAGTTATTTTTATCTAGGATTCTTTTATATACGATTGGACTTACCCTGGTGGACAAGAGCAGTTGTAAGAGTTTATGCCGTCGATACAGGACCCTCCGTTCATGCAGCTCGAATCCGTGCAGTCTTCGTCATTCGTCTGGCAGTTGATGCCAGAGAAACCCAGAGGGCATGTACAGGTGTAGGAAGCCACGTACTGAAATAGAAGATGAAGATGTTAACCAACAGACGACCAATACATAACAATTAAAAATCCAATAAAGCTAAAAGTAGTAATTAATAAATTACTAAGAAATGCGATCTTTTGTCGCGGGCAATATATAGGTTCGTATATTAAATTATTATAAATGTATCTTAATTATAAATGAAATACCGTTTTCAGAGATAATAAAAAAGCGTCGTGTCGTAATGGAAAATATTTACAAAGTTTTTCTAAGTATCGTCAGTAGTTTAAGTAATAAAGTAATAAAGATATAAATAAAACAATTTTAACGATTTAGAACATAAAACAAATTAGTCTAAAATCTTTTATTCTTCTCTTCTCTTTACTCTTTACCACGGCCGTCGACGATTTAGATTTAGAGTATTTTATTCAAAGAGTTTTTCTAGTTTATCCAAACTTATTTCATACTATCTATCTATCTCGTACTTTGAAGCAGAATGTAGATAAAAAATAAACCATTATATACGTTGTAGCTACCATAAAGAGATAGATATAATTACCTGGTTGCAAGTTGCGCCGTTCAAACAAGGTGAAGATTCGCACTCATCCACGTCCACTTCACAGTGTTTTCCTGCAAATCCACTAGAACACACGCAGTTGTAGTCCCCGATACTGTCCAGACAGGTCGCGCCATTTTGACAGGGGACTATAAAAAGAATAACATATTAAGCAAGAATAACAAATAACATATAATATTTGTTCATATTTATAGTGTTTTTTTTTCTAACTTGGCAAAAAACCACAACAAATATGGCCGATTTCAAACCATAGAGAACTAGGGATGACTAAATTTGCCACAGATGATACAGCGAAGAAATATCGATTATAGATATAGCCAAACGACCTCAATACTCAAACTCACTTTTATTTACTTACTTACACATATTTCTATATAAATAATACAATAATATTAGGATGAACACGGCTTGTAATTGCGGTTTTGGACAAGGTAAACACTAATATTAGAAGATAGTAAACTAAAACTAAGAGAAAAAAATCTTATTTAATGGACCAATGGGTCTAATATATATAATAACATAGCTCTTTCAAAGATCACCGTATACATAAACAGAAATAAAAGTTCTCTGTCTGTCATTATATTCTACAATGCATTTGTGATATTTTTATAAAAAAAGATTGGCAAAATATGGAAATCTATTGATCTTCTGTATAGAAAAGTTGAGCTATATTAACTTACTAGAAGCTTTTATAATATTAAATTAGTATATTTTTAATGTATAGTACGTGTGATTTTGGTCATGGCTCAGTTACATTTGTATATTCGGTTCACTATTTTAAATATGTAATGTAAACAGAGCCATGAAGGTGTATAAATCTGTGTTAAGGAGAATTTGAACATCTAAAACCAATGTTCATAGCGACTGTACTAAGATCGTTCCCATCTACATACTTTTATATAGCTTAGTACTACTACTTAGTTACTAGTATTTGTAGAATGTATGTCATAAATACTAGTCAGTAGACTACTATTTATATTAAGAAACACAAAATGTAATAAAAACCTAGTGTAATAAGGAACTTTGTGGAAAGACTATCAAATGGTAACACCTATTAGGTTCCTTGAACCCTGAGTAAATAAACCTGTACCAATAAATAAATAAAAGTCTATATACTTACAAGAAGCGCAGTCGTCCGTGTTAATAGCACAGTCTTTTCCTTCATAGCCTCTTAGGCAGAGGCAAGCATAAGACCCCTCAGTGTTGATACAAGTCGCATCATTGTGGCAAGGAGCTGTTGTGGTGCATTCGTCCACGTCTCGCTCGCACAGAGCTCCAGTCCAACCCACTGGACATTGACAAGTAAACTCGGCGTAGGAGGCTTCGGCGACGCAACGACCACCGTGGCGACATCTAGTTGAAAAGGGGGGAATTAGAAGTGTATACGATAAGTTTAACAGATTCGTTGGTGTAATAAAATAATAAATATTAAATAGGTGGAATGTCAAAATTCTACCCGGGTTACAAACCGTCGTCCACAGATAAAAAAGAGCCATGAAGTTGATTCGAGTTACGGTTTCAGTCTGTGGATTTCCAACTATCCATAGATGTGCTTAGATTCTATTTAGCTGGGGTACTTCACAAACCATCAAGTGGAACCCTCTGAAGATGCTTGTCTGCCCTTTTCTATTATAAAAAAATACGTTAGTCTAAATAATTCAAAAATACATACTGGTTAGGCACGCATGGGTCCAAAGTGTTCTCGCAATTTCGCCCAGAATGAGGTGGTGAGCACACGCAGCGGTATCCATTGACGAGATCTATGCAAGAGCCACCGTGAAGACATGGGTTGCCAGCACAATCGTCGATATTCGTTTCACAGTTGACACCTGGAAGTTATACGAAGATGTAGTTACAGGCTCTGCTACCAATCTACCAATGGGTCTTAGGTGCGATCCCCACCGGGTCTTCCATTTTTCTAATTAATTTACATTTATAGTAGGAATATCGAAATTCCGTCCGGGTCACAGACCTCCGGCTACAGATGAAAAAGCCATCAAGTATAATCGCGTTTCTATTTCAGTCTATGAGTTCCTGAATATCCAAAGCGAAAACAGGTCAATCTTGTTAAGATGTGCTATCGACCTTTTAGGGTATTTCACTTACAATCAAGTGATCCACACTTGCCTATCCTATATTTCTTCTATTATAGAAAAAATCATGCCATCATGCCCCTTTTGAAACAAAGATCCGCCCTTATCTGCAAGATTACATAAGTAGTGAAATTTTATCTTACCAGTAAATCCTAATACGCAATCACATCTATACGCGTTGAGTCGATCGTGGCACGTCCCTCCATGTTGACATGGGTTTGAGCTACACTCGTCTATATCACGCTCACAGCGTTGGCCTAAAAATAAGGACATTTTAATTGTGTAAAGCATATCTGTAGTTTACGTGCATTAAATAAAACGCTTTAAAATGAACGAAATATTAGTCTCCCCGTGACCACGGCTGCTGCAAAGCATCCGAAACATCGGGAAAAATAATTTTCAAATAAGTTTAACTAATATATCGCGTTTTAAACCGTTAAAGTGTTTTATTTAAATGTGTACTACTCGCGTAAACTATAGACAGTATTTAACATTTATCTATTCCTAAGATTACTAAGTAATGGTCTATTAATTGAAACTAGGAGTGTGTCATTATATTATGAATCAGTCTTTTTCCCTCTAATAACTGCTTCATTGGAGGGAAAGAGATAGATTTAAATAAAGATGTGAAAAATGTGTGTAAACATTCTTGGATAGTCTCAAAGATATAAAGCATATTGAAAGGTACGTACCACCGTATCCAGGTAAACAATGGCAGATGAACTGGTTCACTCCGTCTTCGCAGGTACCGCCATTGATGCAAGGATTTGAGGCACACTCGTTCACATCAGAAAGACATCTGAAAAAAAAAAATTACTTTTAATCTTATACTTTTTATTCCTCTGTTATTAAATGAATATTTAGAATTATTGGTCATGTTTTTTTCTGTATTGTTAATTAAACGTGTTGCATTAAGCGCGAGAAGTCCTGGGTTTGAATACCAGGGAAACAATAATTGTTTCGGTCAGGTACAGAAGTCTGATCAACTACTTGCTTGAACCGATCAGTGAAACGGACACAGAAATGTGTTCGCCTACCCCTAAGAGAAACAGGATTTAATTTTTAGGCTCTATTAATTTGAATGCTTGATTTCAGCATATTATATATTATATTTATGTCTCAAACTGCCGATATGCGATTCGTTCACAGTTAACCTTCAAGATATAGTATCTAATACTCTAGTATATAATATCTCCATATTATTCCAACATACCTTGCATCATAGTATCCCCTGGGGCATTCGCAACGGAATCCATTGATGCGATCAATACATTTGCCCCCATTTGCGCAAGGATTGGACAGACATTCGTTGATGTTCGTCTCGCAGTGCTGGCCAGTGAAGCCCGGGATACATTCACATGTATATCTGGAAAAGGTTTGAATTGAATAGCCAATAGCGATATCGGGTCTGATAGCTATACGTTTTGAAATCATGCGCATGTTGCCTATTTTAAAGCTGCGTTTCATATAAATGATAGGAGTTTTAGTTTAAGTGGGTTTGCTACTAGTTTGAGACAAGATAATAATGTATACTAATATTATAAAGATGAAGAGTTTGTTTGAAGGCGCAAATCTCAGGAACTACTGGTTGGAATTGAGAAAAAATTGGTTGCAGCATTTGTCGAGGATTTATAGCTTTAGATTATAAAACACCAAGCTGCGAATTAAGCAAGAAACAAGGGGAAAATACTTTTGGTCTAAATACTTCTTATGACAGAAGAACCCTTGCCAGGTCAGCCAGTATATTGATAAAGACAGCTTAAGGAGCCTCAAGGATAAATTTAATTAGAGATACGATTATGTATCAAAATAATTTGAATCCAACAAACCCTCTTAAAATTATAATTTTGTAAAAGCTAGCCATGCGGTGTAAAGTGAATGAGACTTACTCAAAATAAGTGTTGCTGCGTGTGAAAGAAAAAATAAGCATTAGATTAGATAAAAAGTAACTAAGCATAGCTAAGTTATAAGCACCCTTCCAAAATACAAGAGCGATTCCGTTTCCGTGATTAGATGTGAAAATCAAGCCGTATTTAATATCGCTTTTACTAAAGAGCTTTTACAGACAGCAGCATTTTTATTATTCGAAACTCAACTCTATTCCCTGTCTCATAAGGTATATATCGACTTTGTACCTGTTAATCCCATCGATACAGGTGGCGCCATTCCTGCAAGGGTTTGAGTAACATTCGTTGACGTTGATTTCACAGTTTCTTCCAGAGGTTCCAGGTTTGCAGCGGCATTGGTAGCCATCTATCAGGTCCTCACAATGGCCTGAATAAAAAAAAACAATTTATATATATTTTATTTTATTTTTATTTATTTTAATTTAATTTTATTTATTTTGGAAGGACTATCTTTAAAAACGCGAGTAGTACACATTTCAATAGACCACTTTAACGGTATAAAACGCAATATATTAGCTATTTAGCTATCATCATTTTAACTACGGCCCAACGTTTCGTATCGTAATTAAAATGATTTTTAAATAATATGTTTCGTGTTTAAAACTGTTTAAATGTTTTATTTATAGGGCTTTCTTTATTTTGGTTAATATTGTATAAGTATATATATATAGTAAAAATCTATGTAGATTAAAAAATACACGGGTTTCTATGCTGTGGCTTTAACCAATAGGAATACTGTGTTTGTATCTTCTTCTGTTGTTGTTACAAATGTTTGTCGTACAGAAAGAACTTATGTTGTTTTATTGTAGATAATCCTCACCTCCAAATTGACACGGATTCGATTCGCACTCGTTAATTTGGGTCTGACATACACGACCAGTGTACCCAGGGTGGCAGTTGCACGTGAAGCTGTTGTCGCCATCTATACATTCTCCACGATGACATGGTGCCGATAAGCAGTCGTTGATGTTGGTTTCACAGGACATGCCTATAAAACAACCTTAGTAAGTTATGAAACAAACGATTTGAACAGTTAAGGAGTATAGGCAAAACTTAGTTGATCAGCTCAAAAAGACGGGGCTTGACCTTAGCATGAAATATTTTAGGAATAGAGGACAGGCAAGCGTAGGGTAGTTTGATGGTAGTTAAAGTACCCCAGCCACATAACATCAAATCAAAATGCTGTCGACCTATTTTGGCTTTGGATATTAGGAAATCTACAACTTCGTGAGTTGGACGGAGTTTCGATATTCCTACCAACCATTTAATCCAGAATTTCGAGACGCGATTCAGAAAAATATAAATTGATTTAAAAAAGTGCTAAAAAGGGATCAAACCTACGATCCAATGATTAGAAGCCATTGCTATCATTCCATCAATAAGTCCCGTCAAATAAAATAAATATTTTAAAAAAAATATCAAAAACCTTTTATCGGTACAGTATTATTTAAAACAGGACATCTTACCAGTGTATCCAGGTGGACATTCACAAGTGTAGCCAGCGATGGAGTCATGGCACGTTCCACCATTCCTACAGGGACTGGATGCACAGTCATCTATGTTCACTTGACAACGGGCACCAGTAAACCTGAAATAATCTTGGATTAATCTACGGTAGACACAAAATATCGAATAAATCCGCGAGCGGCGGCAGCTATATAGTAAGCTGCAAGTGTAATAAAGATTTTTTAAGAATTCATTTATTGATAACTAGCGACCCGCCCCGGCGGCGCTCGGGTGCAATGCTGATAGTAAATACACTACGGAAAAACTGTGAACGTTGTATATAAAAACATTCCTCTTGAATCACTATCTATAAAAAACCATATCAAAATCGGTTGCGTAGTTTCAAAGATTTAAGCGTACATAGGGACAGAAATAGCGACTTTGTTTTATAATATGTAGTGATAAAAGCACTAAAATTAAACAAAAGAAGTATAAAGTGAAAAGTATGAGAAAACGATTTACAAATTGGACCTGGTGGAAATACCACAAACCTACGATCTGTTGTTCATGGATTAAGCCACGGTCCTTCTGATGGTGTTGTTTCTTAGTCTTTGATACATACCCAATAACACAGGTACAGCGAAAAGCGTTGATCATATCATGGCAGACTCCACCGTTCAGGCAAGGGTTGTTCGCGCATTCGTCTATCTCCACTTCGCACTGGGTTCCCGTGAAACCTGAAAAAGAAATGAGTTTTATAAGATTCAATATTTTAAAGCTTAAGGGTGTTTGAAGGCGATATTCTCGGGAACTACTGGTTCGAATTGAAAAATTATTTCTGTGCCGGTTAGATCATTTGTCGAGGCGTTGAGTAAAACATCAGGCTGCCAACCAATGGGAAGGAAGGATGTGTGGAAAAAACGGGGAAAAATCGTCAAAATATTTTTTCTTCTAGCAATAATCTAAAAAAATGGCCGCCACAGTATATCTATCTTTTAAGATTAACTTACAAGATCCGTTACTAAGGTAATCAAATTATGGTCGAAATACTTCATATGGCGAAAGAACTTTTGAGAAAAATTAAATTGTCAATATAAATAAAATTAGTAATTCACTAGTGTGACTTAAACTAACTAGGCTAGACTAAAAAGGATTAAAGGTAGGTAAGCTTTCAATTCTGAAGCAAAATTTCCTTTTTCTAAACACAATTGGTCCGATTAGATTAATTTTTAAATAAGTACATTTTTTCTTTTAAATAACACACGTTAACGGTTTAAAACGCGATATATTAGTTAAACTTATTTGAAAATGATTTTCACCTCTTTTCTGACGTTTAATGTTAAATGTAAGTTACACTTGTGTCACACATAAATATCATTTGATTTGATTTGACACAAATTAGCGCAATGGTCGGTCATGTCAAATCAAATCAAACCAATCATTTATCTCAAGAATTATCGACAATTTTATGGTTGTAGGAATGATAGATATTTGACTTGCGTAGCGAATTGTTGAATATAACGATTCTGTCTATTGATTGATGTAACTAAAGAATGTGAAAAGATAGTATGCAACTGCGCCAACATTATATAGGTTTAAAACTCAAGATGTCGTCAATATAAAACGTAACATTTTATATTAAAATTATAAATTAAGGGAATTATAGGGATCTGGCGAAAATTCATCTACAGAGATTCTGTTGTTATTTAATTTGTTTATTAAGAAACAATATTAACGTTTATATTTTAAGCATAATATCTTCAAAGGCACATGTTTATTATGATAGAGATGGACAGACAATCTCAACAGTTGCATTGTCGACTTATTTTAATTTGTGGACGGTAGTTTGTCACCCGAATGGGATTTCGGTATTCCTACCGCCCATTTTGGTTGGTTTGGTAGTTTTAATCTTTAAACCCTAATTTACCATAAATAAAACCTGCCGTCAAATTGCTAAACATTAGGCTGAATCTATAGAGTACTAATGTTAAGCTTTAAAGGTTGTTTCTTAAAACATAAAGTGTAATTTCTTTAACTTCATGTATACAACATAAAGTTAACTTAACTCATACCCAAGCTAAGTAAGAGCTTAAGCAAGCTGCGTCCATTAAGTTAGCGTTCAAATGAAACAGTAATTACCATGTCACTTCCAACAGTTTCATTTCTACCTTCATTATTTATCTCATTTTACGATTCTCATTCCGGTGAGGCAACTGCCACAGATTAAATTAGATCTTTGTGAATGTGGCTTCTGGTTTTAAATCACCTTTTGTATGGACGGTTTTAAGTGGCTCGCTTGTTTGCTTTGTCGTTAAATATGAGAATTTAAATTAAAGATTTAACGGTTAAACGCGATATTTATTATATATATAGTTAAACTTGATTGAATTTGTTTAATTATTTTAAGTGATGCCCAACGTTTCGCATGCTTTACAGCAGCTGTGGTCACGGGAGGCTAAAAATGGAAGGAGGTATCTTTGATGTTAAAGTAAAAACTGCTACGCTACCGCCATCTGTTCAGTCGTAACTGGTATTTGGCGAAATACTGTAATAAGTTTAACTAATATATATCCCGGTTTAAATCGTTAGTGTTTTATTTAAATGTGTACTACTCGTAACTCGTCGTCGTGTACTACCGACAGTATTTATGAGAATTCATAGAAGGTTGTGATTTAAAAAAAAACTGATTGGTTATCTGTGGATTTCAACTACTATGACATTTATGGAAAATAAAAAATCGATAAATGCGCCAAACTTAGAGATCTTAAGAGGCCCCAGCTGTGGGAACTGTGAATGGAGTGATGGTGATAGCTAGCTAGTAATCGACAAAATAGTAAACGACTCGGTCTGCAATGCTTTATTAAAACAGGAATTTCGTATAAGCCGTACGTATTAATATTTAAAATGCTCTCGTAAAAACATCTCAGCAACGTTATAAGGATATCGACTCAATTATAATACAATCAAAGTTGAATTTGCACTGATCGATATCTGTCATAGAACACCTGGCTTCTACCTGTATTGAATTTCACCCTTATTTAGTTCCCATATGTATGTCAATTGATATTCAACTATATCCTTAGCATTTAAGGTTGAAAATCGATCGATCGTGTCCATTGTATGTTTTGTTCTGAAATCACTACCGCACCAAAAAAGGTACGTTGTCATACATGATCATATAGCTTCCGACTGTCAAGTATACACAAGTATAAGTAATTCGTCAGATCAATTCAACATTTTTCTTAGCGTTACATATTTGGAGGCGTATGAGAACCTGTATGTTGTGGAGTGGACAAAACAGTCGCAATACTGTATAGACCAGAGGTGACCGCGTCTTTAGCGAAATGATTAAACGTATTTTGCGTAGCATTGGGTTCGAATCCCAGGGAAAGAAAAAACTATCTCGGTCGGGCAGGGCACAGAAGTCTGATCACTTGCCTGTTAAAGAACGGATCAGTGAGGCAGACACAGAAATGTGGTCGCCCTATGCCCCATGCCCCACGAGGCCGAAACGGGATTTTACTTTTCACTACAGACCGCTGACTTGTTATTACTCAAGATATTACCCGTACCTTTTTTACCATCGTAAAATTACATGTTAAACATGAACGACTTTTAAAAGGCTGTTAAAACAAATGTTCTTACGTTGACCTATAGTTTAGGTTCAGTTCAAATGGCAATTGTACAAATTATTTTCTCAGGTTCGAGTTACGCAAACTTTCCTATACACTGCGTTGTCTATTGAATTTTATGGTAGGGGAATGCCACGCCCAGCGAGCGTGGTACAATTTAAAAGAGACACTTTAACGGTTTAAAACGCGATATATATTAGTTAAACTTATTTGAAATTTATTTTTAACTTTGGCCCGACGTTTCGGATGCCTTGCAGTAGCCGTGGTCACGGGGATATATCGCGTTTTAAAGCGTCAAAGTGTTTTTATTTAAATTTGCACCACTCGCGTAAACTATAGACATTATTTAATTTAAAAGATATATTTTCAATATGTACCGTGGTGGTGCAGAACATGCAGGCACGACCCGTACCTGTTTGATGTATTGGTAAAACATAGTTATGGAATATTATCTCAAGTTCCCCGTTCACAACACTTTTTGATAAACCCCTTCAATTTTTTTTAAATAAAATTTCAAACTAATAATACAGACGCAACAGTGTTTCAGTCTGGAAGACACAAAATAAGTAAAACGAGCACATATACTAGTGTTATGTGTTTGAAAACAAATGACTCGTAAAATCAAAAAATGTAGCGTTAAAAGACAAAAAAACAAAGAACTTCACTAATTATGGTAGAATAACTAACCCATGTTAATGTATATTAGTGTAACAACAAAAGTTAAGACAATGAGATCTGACTATTGAGAATGGATTTACGAATGTTTTTCAAAATGATCAATAAGTTAGTAGAACAGATTATAAATATTATAATAACAACCACGAACAAATCTCTTATCGCTTCTACCTTGCACCATAAACAAATGTCACGATTTATAAACACAAATACAATGCGAATTCAGTATATTAGAACAATCTATGTTTCAAGTCCCTTTCAAAATTTACGAATAGCTATGAATTTAATTATATCTTAACTTTAATATGTTAGGTTTCATTTCCATATAAGTAATTATTAAAAGTAACATTGTGTCAGCGACTTCATCCGCATAGAATAGTTATTCTGGACATCCAAATTTGTGTTTGCAAACCTCCTCTTCATCTTAACAAATTGTTTAAAACCCACAACATCGGTCGCGTGCTGTCGTTCTTACAAGTTAATCTTACAAGATAGACATGTAGTGTCGGGGATATTTTTTCTGATCTTTTAAAGATAACTAATTTTCTCCGTTTTTTCCACATTTCCCGCTGTTTCTTCGCTCTTAGTCACAAGCGCGTGTTTAATGGCCATCCTCGATAAATGAACGAGCGACTAGTAGTACCTGAGATTAGCGCGTTCAAAGAAACTTTACATACTAGTAAAGGTATGTAAGATGTTCTTTATCCAGGAGAAACCTGCTTCCAAAAAACAACCAAGAGATTATTTTCCATCTGTAGTGCGTGCGCAACCTATATTCCAAGTCCCTAGTTAAAGCTATTATTCGCATTTAAATATCTACAAATAAAACACAAGCCGAGGATACCTTTTTAAATTGTTAACGGTTGGCTTCATAAAAAGGGAGTGCAAAGTCCCATAGGACATGTTTATGCCATAAAAAAATTATAATGCCGTCATAGCAGGCAACTTTGCCCTTATTAGTGCACCCGTAAGACTGGTCTGACGTCTGTAGGGTAACCGCACTTTCAGAAATGTGTGGACAAGTCAACTGACAACTTTGAATAAAATTTTCTCTAGTTATATTACAAACACAAACTGGGAATGAAATGAATGTTATACTTTTAAAATATGTAAGTTTTTAATTTGGATTTAGGTCAAAAGCTTTCCACCTAAAGTGCTAACAATATTATACAATTTATCACCTACGAAGAAAAAATATGTAGTTTATTTACAGAATTAGTTACTAGCAAATAAATTTCTTATTCATAATTCAAGATTTTATTCAAAGGGTGGACTTAACAAGAAAGTGTCCAGTCTACAACACAACGCATAGTGACCCCACAACAAGTCCACTCGTGCGTGAGATGATGCGACACGGCCGAAATAAATACCCGCGCATGAGCAACGGTTCTACAGCCTTAATAATTTATAAGCATTATACAATACTGCAACTCGATAACTCCACTTGATTCGAGCCCTATAGTTTTAAGCTATACGAATAAAACGGAATATGTAAACTATTTTGAGTGTAAAGTAAGAGAATGTCAGTAGAGGAACATAGCGAAGTGTATAGATTTCCTATAATTTCATACGTTTTAGTAAAAAATATATTGATTCAATAATAATTTATAAGGAATAATCGATAAGGAGTTCTGCACTATTTCAGTAAATAAGTATCTTCCTAGTCTGAGTCTGTGACTGGTTCATAAACTACGGACGTCTATATGTTACAATTTATGTATCTGCAAATTCAAGCTACAAATACTGTTTATTGTTCCTAAAATAGTTAAAAGTTATACAGACTCGGTAATTGATTTACAAATATTTTGCATCTGTTGGTAATCGAACTCACGATATTCGTTGTCTTAAAAATTCAGTCGAGTAGAAGGCAAAAACAACGTTTGTATGTAGATAAAGTCGATCAGTGAAATAAATCTCCGATTTAAAAATATCGACTGCTTTTTAAAACTATTACTAACCCAATCCCCCGTCCCTATGCCTAAGTAAGCGATAAAATTGCAATGTGCAAATTATCTCGCTACACGCCATACCCAAAAAAGATCTTATCTTAAATTCTCCGAAAAAAAAACATACTCCAATTAAAATTGCGTATATAAAATGTTGATGTGACTTTCTCTCGATAAAAATACAGGAAGGATATGTAAATTTTGCGGTTGAATTGAAACGCAACTCGTTCTAATATATTATGTTAATTTTTATCAAATTACCACTTACGCGGGTATGGAAATATGGATCATATTATAAACAACATAGGGTGTAATCTTTAATGATATCAGATGTTTGTTTCCGCGTCAAGACAAAGCGAACGCTCTCATCGCCATGGGAACTGGCTTCAATAGGGTTGCCAGTTCTAAGAACGCCCATTTCTTGCGATTACGCAGAATAAGCTATGAATATTGATAGCCGTTGTAGGTGACTACTATTATTCGAATTTGAAGTCTCTGTAAATATTGGCAAATCAAATAACAAGATGGCGATTGAAAGAAACGTGTTTTAGCATAAGCTTTCGAGTTTTTTGATTGCTTAAATTTTGAAGACTTATTGCCTCTTTAGTCATCTTTATATCCAATGATTTTGTTATAATTTTATGTAGTTGTAATATACATAATAATAAGGTAAGTACAATGCTCTCAAAACTTTTTGGCCGGGCTGAAGTTAGCGCAGATGGTTGCGCAGAACGCAAAAAAGAGGTATCATTCATCATATCATTTGTTGTGACAGAGGGGGTGCACGGGTACGAGGGGGACTCAACGTTTTGCTTAAAATTGACAGTACCATACGCAAGATGGCGGTCGCGCTAACTTCAGTCCGGCCTGTATAATAAAAACTAATTTACACATCATTGTAAACTGATTTTGAAATTATAAAAAAAAACATCTATATCAGAATGGGTTAATTTGAAACTTATTTTGTAATTTCTTAGGTTATATATTGTCTGTAGTGGCAACCCTATCACTTGTCTCTCTCTGTCTAGCTAATGATAATCATCAAACGATCGCTGTCAACTGTGTGGCAAATTGTAAGTTCGCGAAGGGGGGTCTTTACCGTTACTCCACACTGATGGACCATTGGCTTACTGATAACATGCTTTTTGCAAGTTACAAATGAAACATGTTTATTATGTAATTATAAGCCTGGGTAACTTATTAACTTTATTATTGACGAAACATTCTTTAACAATTTAGAATTATAAACGTAAATATGAGTAAGTGAAATCCCACTTCCCCCTCGTGGGGCATGGGGAGAACACATTTATGTGTCCGTTTTGTTGATCCGTTCTTTGCTGAGCCTTGCTTGTCTGAAACAATTTTTTGTTTCTCTGGGATTCCAACTCAGGACCTCTAGCGCTTAACGCAGCGCTATACGTTTAACCATTTGGTTACGTATCGTACGAGTCGGTCAACGTAAATATAAAGTGTAGGTAAATTATTCATCTAATACGCGAGTAGTACACATTTAAATAAAACACCTTAACGGTTTAAAACGCGGTATATATTAGTTAAACTTATTTTAACTAATTAACTAGTACCAGTTGTAACATTTGCAGTGAGATTTAAAAACGTCGAAACCACTTACCAGGCATACAGACGCAGCGAAAGGTGCCAGGATCATCGAGACAGGACCCTTCGTTCCTGCAGGGGTGACTCTCGCATTCGTTGACGTTCGTCTCGCATCGAGGACCAGTGAAACCCACTGAGCAGTTGCAAGCGAAGGAACCAGGTGTATTCACGCAGATACCATCGTGCTCACAAGGGGAACCTAGGAGAGAAATTGGTATGGTTATAGAGGAGTATAGGCAAATTCAATAAAATTACATGGGTCGACAACCCATCTTGGTTTTTCTTTTAACTATAGAGAAGAGACAAGCGTGGGGTTCCCTTGTTGGGAGGTGAAATACTCTATACCTAGTCTGGCCTTGGATATTCCTAAATCCACAGACTAAAACCGGAACGCGATTAAACTTCATGGCTTCATCTGTGGGCGGTGGTTCGTGACCCGGACGGAATTTCGATATTCCTAACACCAATTTAATATCCAGATTTCCAGACAAAGTCCAACATTCTTCAGAAAAATAAGGAACATGTTCCATTTAATGCTACTATTAGACCAATAATCTCGTCACATTTTCTTATAGAGTTGGAGTATTACTTATCAAATCAAGGTCTATATTTTTCTATCTCTATCTGCTTAAGGTGGAGTAGAAGTACTCACCCTGTTCACACTCGTCGATATCTTCAGAGCAGTCGAGCCCTTTGTACCCAGATGCGCAAGAGCACGTATAGGAACCGTTGATGGGACTAGTGTCGCAGATGGCGTCAGCGTGGCATGGATTGGAGGTGCATGCGTCGTCCAAGTGGCAGAGGAGACCTGTAAAGATAGAAAAGAATGAGCAACGGTTACTCCTTTAAACCACTGATGTTAAAAGTACAAGAATTGTGCAGAGGAAAGAAAGACAAGCAGTTAAAAAACGGCCTTTTCTATTTATTTATTTCAAATTTTAGTACAGATAAGGTACACAATGTTATTTTACAACTATAGAATGCACCGGGCGGCCTTATCACTATAAGCGATCTCTTCCAGGCAACCCGAGTAGAAAGTAACTAGACAATTTGCATACTCAATTGAAAAACTCTCTATACGTTATGTTAAAAAACGTATAATCTTTTTTACATGCTGACGTGAAGTGATTTTTATTTAGGTTGTGTAATATTTAGGACTTACCAGTCTTCCCAGGAGTGCACTTGCAGTAAAAAGCGCCAACCCGATCGATACATGTAGCGCCATTGAAGCAAGCTGCGCCGGCGCAGTCGTCGATATTGACGGAACATTCTGGACCCGTCCAGCCATTGACACAGATGCAAGAGAAACCGCCCACGGAGTTGGTGCATGTAGCACCGTTCTGGCAGACTAGAGGTCTGTAGAGAAAGGAAATTACATTTATTGATATATATATTACAACTATATAACTATGCAAAATAGTAAAAAAAATATGTATATTTATTTTAGTTAGAGAAATAAACTAATTTACAGAAAACAATAAACGTTTAAAAACGGAAACATTTTTTCATAGAATATCAATGTAAGGTGTAAATAATTAAAGTAATTAAAGACCCTTGAGTTTGTTATAAATTAAACAATTATATAAAATTACACGCCGAAAATGCGCCGACAAACGGAAATCTTTCAACGTTCCTGGCAACATTCGTTGGCGTATTAGCGAATATTTTCATGAAAGCTTAATTATTCCGTGGTTCTTGAATCAAACTAGGGCGAGAGCATACCGATGAACATATTTTGATGTTCCATGAGCAAGAAATTAAGTAAATCTTTCCTCTTTAAATGTATTTGGGTGGTTTGTAATATAAATTTAAGAGATACTTGGACATAGTCACAGGGTTAGGTACCAACTGAGACACACAAGCAACATATTCACTTGATGGAAGGTGAAGTAACCGAACGTCAACTTCTTTGAAATTGGATATTAGTTTAAATAAAACACTTTAACGGTTTAAAACGCGATATATTAGTTAAACTTATTTGAAAATGATTTTTAACTTCGGCCCGAGGTTTCGGATGTCTCCCCGTGACCACGGCTGCTGCAAAGCATCCGAAACGTCGGGCCGAAGTTAAAAATCATTTTAAAATAAGTTTAACTAATATATCGCGTTTTAAGCCGTTAAAGTGTTTTATTTAAATGTGTACTACTCGCGTAAACTATATACAGTATTGGATATTAGGAAATACACAGACTGAAACGTAAACTTCACGACTGCTAAGCATGCGATACGTCGGGTCGTATTTGAAATAATTTTGAAAAAGGTTTAACTAATTAACACTTTAGTTTTTTATGTAAATATACTACTTGCTACCACGCCTGCAGCAAAGCATCTGAAACGTCGAACCGTAAATAAAATAATTTAACTGATATATTTCGCGTTTTAAACCGTTAAAGTGTTTCATTTGAGCATAATACCTTTATTTAACAGTACCTAGTCATTGATGTAACTAAATAATGTTAGTCTTTCATAATCATTTGGAATCTCTATAAATTGGGTGTGTCCGGGCGCGTGCTCTGTACTATTTCCTATCTGATCGAACCATGGCATTACACAAGTTTAAACTATTTAACAATGGCCTGCGATGTAGATATTTAACGGATTCTGTTAACGATTCCTGTTGGAAAGAGAATTTTATTTCGGACTTGAGCTTATAAGACGCGACTATCAAACTTTTAAATCCTTATTAAAGAAGAGTTTTCGCCTTAGAAATTTGGAGACTTATAAACATATTTGCAAATCAGTTTTGAGATAAAACAATTACAATCAGACAAGTAGGTATTAACATAAAACCGAAAGACTAAAACGGTTCTTTCAGAGAACTGTCAAGCTGTCAATTTTGAACAGTTATCTACTATGCAATAATAGGGTATATAGCCACTGATTTGAAGTAATATGATAACTAATGAACGAAAGTGTTAGTTATCATAAGTCTTTACGAGACCAACCCTAAATACTATTTGGATTAGTCCACTCGTCATTAATATCGTACTATCACTTAAAAAAGGATCTCACAATGATTTACATCACCCCCTTACCACCAAACACTCAAGAACGACAATAAATACGTTACTTCAAAGAAGTTGTAAATCAAATGTGACTTTTCGCTTTAATATGCCACACTCACGTCACAAGGCAAAAGCTTAAGCGACTTTAATTCAATTTTTTCCACCACCTTCCTAGAAGGTAACGTCAAATAGTCGATTTTTTAAGGACGAAAAAACAAGAGACAAATTCTACTTTTACTGGGAAACTATCCGTACGTATGTAAAATGTTTTTCTTCATCTATTTTTCTCCATCTCTCATTTTTGTCCATCTTCTCTATGTAAAATGTTAATCTTTACAAGTTAGAAGCTTAAGCGGCAATTTTTTATATCATTCCGTGAAATAGTTAAATTTTTAAGTACCACAAACTATTTCTACATTAATTAGACAACCATCAAATTCTGTACATATATAAAAATGTTTTATTTATTTATTTATTCTTAAAGGCACGTCTAATACTTATATATGTATACAATATATTTATAATTTTGCGCTTACACAATTATATTTACGTAAACCGAAAAAACTAACCAAAACGTTGTATGTTCTGGCATGAGTACAGACTACGCGCGAAAATCACTCTGCTACAGATTAAAAAACCTAAATACTTTCAAATACTTACATAGCAACTGGTAAGACTTTTCTATCATTCGCAAATTATCTAACTATAGATCGCTTCTGCTTATGGTATATACCAAATAAACTCTGCGATTTAATATTCTCAATAAGTTCAACGCTCGTAAATATAACTTTACTACCAATAAATTGTCGTCTTTATAGTGTATTGATATTGCTCTATATCTCAGTTAATAGATCATATGAAACAACTTTGAGGATATCTCCATACATCTAGATAATTAAACAGACATCTTAAATGTAAAATAAAATCATTGATTTGAAATTTCTTATTAAAGGTAAACGGAAAAAGACAAAAACCCTGTCCTCGTTAATATTAAAACAAATATCATAATCTAGGGTTTGTATAACGAAATTAACCAATCTATTATTTAATATCACTAGTTTATCCTATAAATTACCAGGTTTCGAAGTGGTTCCCATAAGACGAGCAAAAAAAAAGAATTTGGGTTCGACTCCCGATCAAATGATTAATAGTAACGGTTATGCCTCATACAACTTATTTTACTTAAATAAAACGCTTTAACGGTTTAAAACGCGATAAATTAGTTTAACTAATATATCGCGTTTTAAGCCGTCAAAGTGTTTTATTTAAATGTGTACTACTCGCGTAAACTATAGACAGTATTTAACTTAATTTACGTAAACAAGACACATCGTGTCCCAGCGGTGGGAATATCTAACAGTAACACCGTTGTATTCAGCAATGTATCTTCTTAATGTAAGTTTAAATAATGTAAGAACCATCCATTGCCCTGAATGAGTAGAAAAACCATTTCAAAGGGCGTTGAAACCCGGAAGGCTATCAATCATGCATTAGCTTCGTCGAAGGAGAATATCATTTATAAGATGAGGCAATAAAGACCTAGGGTGAGCTTAATACGCTATTTTCAAAATATCAATCGAATACGTCCGAACAACTTTTTGATGATGACTATTTTTGAATAAATACTTAATTAGAAAAAGAAAGTTTTCCTAAATATTTTCTTAAATTTCAAAACAGAATATTGAAGGATTAATACATATACAATAGTAATTTTGATTGACGACAGACATTTATATGTTAATAACGAGATAATTGTCGTTTGATTAAATTTATTTTTTGTAATGCTAGTATTTACATCGAAGGGAAAAATCTTTTTTGCCCTAGTGGCAAATTGTCTAGAATTATTTTCTAAAATACTAAGAAAGTAAGTCAAGTCAATAAACAACAGTTATAGAGGATAATTTATTAACATGCGCCTGCGCATCTAATGATGTTCAGCTAAGGTATTTAAATTAATAACAATATTAGTACACAATGATTCGAGCATGAACAAATACGTAATTACAAAATACATTGCTGAAACTATACTAATATATATAGGATATTTACAATTTAACAAACGATAAAAAAATATATTTTCACGGGCAGGACTAGAACCTAGTACATACGACGATCGTTTGTTTATACCACCACCGGCTTCGTGGTTGGTTAAGCGTTATCATCGCGTGTTTTTAATAACTGTAAATAATAAAAAACTCGTGCTTACTATTCAATCTATCATTTGTATCTGCCCGCAGTAGCTAGGCGTATTCAATTTCTCCTGGACATTAATCAATAATCTAGAGATGTACCGTAAATCTAGCTTGATTGAATTTCTAGAATCTGTGGTCTATACAACATAGACAACGTTAAAATAGAATAAGTCAGTTTTATTTCTTCTCAAAGAATGTTCAAGTTAATAGCAAAAATATATTTTAATCTGTAAATAAACTGACTAATTATTTACAGATTAAAATATATTTTTCCGAAAAAGCGAAACAACGTTAAAAATGTGCTTGCAAGTCCTGATTCTGGGACATAGTGATTTCCGAACGACGGGAAAGGACAAACTAACGGAATTTGACATACTTAAAAATTTAAGCGCTTGCGCATGCGCATCGTATCGTTTTATATTTATTTTTCCGCTCCTGAATATTCCGTATCGCCGCAATTAGATACTCTTTTTAATGGTTATTAAAGAAAATTAACGTGAAGGTATACCATTTAACGATCCTTATCTTTCGAATTCAAATTACACTGATACTGGGCTACCATAGCGCTACCAGATTCGAACTTATCAAAACACCATTACAGTAGTGATTAGAATCGTTTGAAAAGTAATTAATAAAGTATGTTTCGGTTCATGAATAAACATGGGACTTTCGTTCGTGGTATCTTAAAAATGCAGTAGCCTCTTTGTGGGTGTTTATGGCGTTCTTATCTCGTGGACACGGGGTTCACTAAGTACGACTTGGGAGTACGAAGACCTACACACAGTGTTATAGAAAAAAGAGTCGAGACCAAATTTTGAAAACGGTATTAGTTTTTTTTCATCATGAAAAAACAACTATCACCGTTTTCATTGACATTAGGGACACCCTCCATCTGTAGACTTCGCGTGATCACAGCTGCTGCAAATCATCCCAAAACGTCGGACCGTAGTTAAAATAATTTGTAAATAAGTTGAACTGATACATTTCAAAATTTAAACCTTTAAGTTGTTAAATTTCTTTTGATTCGATTGCTAACTTACCCACAGAACAAAACTTCGTAAGTCAGATGAACTAAACTTCAAAAGACTATACAAGTGTGCATCCCGACACACTTCAATGGACTCCAAGCACAAAAAAATATAAAAATGATAGTAACTCGATACTGGGAATGCATTATCTCATACAAAGGGATTAGATGACAATCCCATGATTTAAAACAAACGGAAACCAACTCTAATCTAAGCGAATTAAGTCCAAAATCTATTCTCGAAGAAGGGACTGATGGACGTGAAAGGTGTATTGTAAAAGCTGTTGTATTATAATATAATAAAATTCAAAATACAATGACGCGATCATCATAGTAAAGTAAGACGCTGAACGTACGTTTCTTTTGCTATTTGAAATAAGACTTTTTCCCGTTGTAGTAAAGTTTAAATTTGGGTGTCAATGTATTTTGTATGCCAGGCGGTCCTGTATGGAAATTTTGAAAATATTAATAAGAGTTAACCGCAGCTCGTAGGTGGTATTTGGTGACATTATAATTATTTTTATTGTTTTCATATTAATTTTATGAGTTTTCTTCCTCAATAGATAGAAGGATACATTACAAAAGATAAGATATGTATTTAAATAAAACACTTTAACGGTTTAAAACGCGATGTATTAGCCATATGACATCTAAACAAGATACGCTGTAGCCTATTCTGAATTTAGAAGTTCGGAATTCTACAGACTGAAATCGAAACACGATTAAACTGGACGGCTTTTTCATCTGTGGACGATGCTACAAATTTCGATATTTCTACCAACCGTTTAATATCCAGATTTCCAGACGAAGAAGAATTATAAGAATTAGAATCATGTTGGACCTGGTAGGTAACGAACACACGACCGGTTGATTTCAATTACACCAACAAGCCCGACTTTATAAGTTTTATATTTAACTAGCTGTGCCCGCACCTTCGTTCGCGTGGTATAGTGACTTGGGGCAAAATTATTAATTATTTAGGCTGTTTATTAATTTATGTAATTGAGCATTTATCGCAGCCAATCTATGTTGCAAGTACTTCATTGCCGCAACACTCTCACCTCACATCACTCCTACTCTTACTCCCACTCTCACTCTCATTCCCACTCCTATTCCCAAAAAGCCAAAAAAGAAAGTTTCATTGTTCTAGCTTCAAAAACCACAAATTTCCATACAAACTTTCACCCCCCCTTTTAACTCCTTACAACCCCCTTTTCGCAATAAGAAGTAGTTATGTTATTCTCAGGGTCTAGACCATATGTGTAACAAATTTTATTTAAATCCTTTCAGTAGTTTTGGCGTGAAAGAGTAACAGACAGACAGAGTTACTTTCGCATTTATCATAATAGGATTACGATGCTGTTCTAGCTAGGGTATAAATAAAACAATTCATTTTGATTCAAATCACGTCCAGCATACAAAGACACTATTTTCGATCCCAATTTATCGCCAAATATAACGTTTATAAAATAGATTGTGAACTTTCTTAGACATATACACACGGATGTGTTGAGGAAGTCACACATAATTTAATTGATGAAAGATACAAAGGGGTCTCATAGAATAAATTCAAAATGTGCTATAGACCTCTGAAGCATGTAACAATTTTTTTTGTTGCTGGGCATCGAACCCTAGATAGCGCGCATCTAAACTGCGTAATTTTCCATTGAACATCTTCCCGCATATGCCATGAGAACGTATTCGTTTTTTGTATACCATCATTAGGTTGGAATTAACCTAACGTTAAGCGGGACAGAAGATTATTAGAGAAAATTGCCTATATTTATAGAATAGATGGCGCTAAATTGATCGGTAAATAGTTGGGATATATTTTTTACTTGTCGGCACTTATGAAGTATGCGTCACAATTTAGTAACAAGTTAGTATTGATAAACAGTACAAGCAAAATTATTTCTTTTCTAGAAATCGAACCCCGGACGTTTCAAACTTAATGCAGTACAAATCCCGTGACCACACAGCTGCTGTACAGCAGCAACATGGGACCAAAGTTAAAATATATTGTAAATACATTTCGCGTTTTAAACCGTTTAAAGTGTTTTATTTTAAAGACATCGATTTATGAAATATACCTATACTTAAAGAACAGTTTATGAATTACTATATTCTATTCATGCTATTTCTGTCTATAATTACAGAACTTTGCGAACATAAGTTAACTAATATATTTCGTCTACTTTATACTATCCGCGTCTATAATTACGGAACTTCATGAACTAAACTATAAACATAAGTCTATCTCTAGCCAATTTACCCTCCAAAATCGTCCAACGACCTCAAAACACAAACCAAACCGAAAAGGTTTCAAGTGCGGGTTCAATAACCCATTGACGACTTATTTTGTAATTAACACCCGATAGACGTGCCGACTCATGCGCCTATAAAAAACACCATGTGGATATAATTATTTTGTTTGATGTCGTTAATTTCTTTCGCGCGGTGAGAACTTTGTACATCGATCGGGATATTGTTGTATGGGAATATATACTGTCTGTAGATTACGCGAGAAGAAAAATTTAAGTAAAGTTCCGGACAGTACCGCCATTTACCAACTTCGTCGGAAGAGATGACGCTAGCGTAAGAGTTCTCTACTTTGAGGCCAGAGACACCTTCCATCTTGAGTCTCCCCGTGACAACAGCTGATGCAAAGCATCGGAAATCTCGGGCCGTAGTTCAAGCAAGTTTAACTAATATATAACGAGTTTTAAACCGTTAAAGTGTTTTATTTAAATGGCAATATTAAGCTATATAAAAAAAATGTTAATGTAGCAAATTATGTATTGCAGAATAACAAGAGAATAAATTAGAGTTAAGCCTTAAGGTAGTCCATTATAAGACTAACAAAGATACAATTAAATATTTTAGTAGTCTACTGGAGCAGTTCTATTTATTCTAAGACTCCGATAAAAAACCTTTGTGCATATCTTGCGAAAAAATACATTTTTTTTTATCTCTAAAATACTTTTTTTTAAGTGTATCAAAGCTTAAATTGTAAATATTCATAACTTACCAAGTAATTATAAATATATAACATTTACGTTTTTTAATAAAAGCGAGCAGTCCATTACTAGAGAAGAAGTACACATTTAAATTAAACACCTGCAAAGCGTCCGAAACGTCTATTAACATTGGTTAACATGTCTTTGGCGTTTAAAACCGTTAATAATGCTTTATTACAAAAAGGGCATTTCAAACGCTGTTCTTCGTGAAAAATATCCCTAACAATTCTAATCATCCTTACCTCAAAGCACATTCATCCACATCTGTTTCGCAAAGCGTCCCGGTGAAAGTGGGGGGACACTCGCAAGTGTAGGAGTTGAGGCCGTCGATGCACGTCGCCCCGTTCTGGCACAGGTGTCCCGGACAGTCGTCGATGTTGATCTCGCAGTTTTGGCCACGGTAACCTGGAGAAAGAGTCGTAAGATATAACAATGTGGTTTATAAATTAAGTTGTAAGGCATATTCGTCTGGAAATCGGGATGGAAATAGGTGGTAGGAATATTGAAACTCCATCTAGGTCACAAACCACCGTCCACAGATGAAAAGCCGTGAAGTTTAATCGCCGAAACGTCGGACCGTAGTTTAAATCTCTTTTAAATAAATTTCACTAATATATATCGCGTTTTAAACGGTAAACGTGTATTATTTAATCCTTTTTTTTAGTCCTTAATAACTCCCTTTTTCTTCTTTTAGTCCTCTCCTAGTTTCCGATACCGGGAAAGAATAATTTCGCTAAGATACAAACAGTGACAAGCAATAGTTATAATATTTTTCATATCTCTTTTAGCGTCCTCTAATAATTGTGTCTCAACGGTTCCCCTCTATTTATTTCACATGCTGTGACGTCACCAGTCGACAGATTTAAAACAGTTTTTACACAAACACATGTGGCCGTGGGAACTTGTCTGTTTAGTTTTCGTCACTTAATTAGAGCCTAGAAGTGCTTAATGAGTGTACAGATTTTGTGAAAGTAGGTTTTGGTACGGAGTGGCGATGTACAATAATTATACTAGTCTATACTAATATATGAAGAAGAGTTTGTTTGTTTTAACGTGCTAATCTCAGTAACTAAAACATCGCGATGTGAGTAATAGGAGCGAAAAAATAGTGGAAAATGTTGATTATTCGCTTTGTGGGTTTCCGATCTGTACGCTGAATCGGTTCCAAATACTCAAAAAATATTATTATATTTATAAATAAATTTAGTGCTGTAAATACTGTCTGTAGTATACGCGAGTAGTAACACTTTAGCGGTTTAAAACGCGATAAATATTATAGTGTAGTTGTAACCTCGGGTCGTAGTTGAAAGAATTTGTAAATAAGTTTAACTAAAATATTCGATTTTTAACGACCGGCGCTATCGTAGCACGCCTGCGCAAAGCATCCGAAACATAATGAATGCCGTAATGAAATTGATAAGTTGAATCTTTCACGTTTTAAACCGACAAAAGTGTACTAATTTGTACTTGTTAAATATGTTTCATACTTTCTAGGTGGAAAAAATCATATAATATTTAAATACTGGGACTGGGACTTTTTGGTTGAAATTTAATATAAATTTAAAATTATGGTTATTTGTAGCGGATACCCTCCCATACATTAATTTCATACAACATGCTCAACATATGTTTGGATGGAAAAGTATCAAGCATGCGTAATTACAATCTATCGCTTTTTTGAGGCTTAAGATTCATTATTGGTCTATGCAAAATTTTGTGTAATCAGCCCATCATCTGTGTCATTAGCATACTGTGAGAGTGGTCATACACACATTTCTCACGTCGAGCAAATACAATTGAAACACGGAAGCTGCTTTTGCTTATTTGATGATACGAAAACAATTTCCAGGGCTGTCAAAATACATAATTAATTATTTATAATCATGATAATTAGTTACAAAATACAACTAAAGGTGCAGAGGATATAGTTAAAAAAAAGTGAAATTCCGTTTCCCCCTTCTGGGGCATGGGACACATTTCTATGTCCGTTCCACTGATCCGATCGCGCAGAGGATATAAAAGTATTAAAATATTTATTTAGGCTAGTTTATTAAAAAGAAATTAACGTTACCTAAACAATACCAATAATGCGTTATATTTCAATATTATAAAAGTCTCTAAGGAGCTAATTTTAAAGACTTTTTCAACAAAACATCAGTAGTTATATTCAATGTAACGCCCGGTTAGTATTCGTGGCTCCTTAGGAACACAATACGTAAGAGTCCAATCAAAATATATTCAAAGTAACTGTTGATTCTCTCAAATTTTAACTGTGACTCAGTCTGGTTCCTACGCGATAGTTAAAAGTACAGTTGAAAGCCCTTAGTTTGCTCTCCTTTTAATAATTCATTACATTTTTTAAGAGAAATGGCTCATTAAGGCAATAATATGTAAAAACTTGTTTACCAATCGCGTTTGTTTGCGTGAATATGAACGAAACAGAAAGCTTTTATAAGCCGCAATAACAAAAAAGCGCTGTTACAAAATTTCAGCAAATTTCCGACGAACTAAGCTAAGTTATTTAATTTCAGACAGTACCACGACAAACTATAAGTTCGACTCCCGGCTAAACAATAAATACTTCCGTCAGATAGGGCGCCGATGTCTGATCAACTATTTGTCTTTAGTCTGTGTCTTTACAGATGTACATAGAAACACTTAGCAAAACATGAATACTATATTTTACTTATGGTAAATTAAGGTTTAAATGTTAAAACTCTAGTTTATCTATATAACATGCATATTTTTTGTGCTCAACAAGTGTCGATAAAATGTAATATCATAACTGTTAATCCTGCCATCTATCGATCAAAATTCGTAATAACCTAACAAGTATTAACTTTTACAAAATGTCCGCCGAGATGTTCTCGTTTTGCAATCCTTAATCGACCATATTCTCGAAATTCTATTAAAGAATTGCACTATTAGTGTTATTTCATACATTCAACATAATAACTGATGAGAATCGTCTAATCAACGTTGGATCACGGAAATTATCGCAATTCAAGCGAATTTGAACTTTATCGCTTTGCAACTCTTCGCTACGAACGGTCATTTTGGTATTTCTGTTACATCATATAGTGCAGTTATAGTAATCGTTGTGGCGAAATGTAATTTGGCAAGTCAAGGGTCATGCTTTCGTTTGTCATTGTTTTATACGATTTTTGTAATGATGATAATATGTTGTTTATTTTTTTATACATAAGTCTATCTTCCTTTCACCTGTAGCTTTCTCTTACTGTTCAGTTGTTTGCAAAAATAAATGATTCTCAAAATAATTACTACAAGCAGACGTAGTCACGAACCCAGCAAGTGACTAATAAGTCCTTAAAATTTCGACCTATACGTGGGAAAACTGAAATAACAAATCAATCACCGAACGCAATTATTCCCATATTAATTAACGCGTCTTAAGTGTTACTTAAATAACTAACTAAATCACCATTTTACACCACTTGAGTATGCGGTAATGTGAGAATATGTTTAGCCTCGTTTGAACCGAAACTCAGGGTTGAGAAGTTTTTATAATTTTGGGATAAGAAAAATTCAAAGGACATAAAACGAAACATAAAAAGATGGTTTAAATAACACTTTAACGGTTTTAAACGGAAAATATATAGTTAAACTTATTTTAACTACAACCCGACGTTTCGGATGCTTTGCTTCTGCTGTGGACACGCGGAGACACATTCAAATAAGTTTAACCAATTTGTGTTGCGTTTTAAACCGTTAAAGTGTTTTATTTAAATGTGTACTACACGCGTAAACTCCAGTATATTAAACGATGGTAATAATGTTTCCCAATACATTTCAATTGATGAAAACTCAAGCCCAAGATCAGAAAGGATTCTGACTGTTTAACGAAGTTTCACCCAGAACGATGAATGATTATCGAACCTAAGACTTCTTAGTACGATCTATATTTGTATTAGGGCATTGGGATTACAACATATTTTACATATATTACATTTCTATGTAAAAGAACATACAGACAGTATCCTTAAGTACACTATCTGTATGCTTTGTCGTTTGCATAATACATTTGTTATCTGTAGTTTACGAAAATGTATACACATACGTAGTTTAAGTACGTATTAAGTAACTATGATTTTTACTTACAAACGCAATAGTTCCCATGTAATAAATTAAAAATTTCGCGTTTAAAACCGTTTTAAACATATTTAAGGCACTAATTTTGATTTGTTCGAAGGCCTATGTAAATAAGAAATCTTTTCACATCTCTACCAAACAAACACCAATAACAGTTAATAAGCAGTCATAACCAACGCCGAGCTATCGGTAAGCGCAGCCGCGGGCTGAGCTAAGCTAATTATGGGATTGAGAGTTGTCTCACATATTTTAATGTCTCGTGCTATTTTGGTACAGGTCAAAGATTATGTATTTTGTGACACTTAAGATATTGAACCATAACATTGTAATGTGTTTTCAACACTAATAATTATAACGTTAATATATTTTAAATTTTGCCCAATTATAGTGGGTGAAAGAAATCTTAATAACCTCACGAATACAGATAATACAGATAAAAAACAAAGAACTGTCACTTTAATTTCTAGTCTGTGGATTTTCAAATATCCAAAGACAAAATAGACCTAGAGCGTGTCTTAATTAGTTGATATACGACTGGCGTATTTCAGCATCCATCAAGAGAATGATTATTATCTGTCCTTTATCATAGATTTTTTTTTAAATATCTTAATGGTCATAATGGCGTGATGTTATAAGTAAATATTAATATCTAGGACAATTGTTTGGCATGCTATTTCGAACACGAAGGTATAAAACGGAAGATTGCGTGTCTTTATTCTTTGACCCCACGCCCTGGGGCGACCACGACTCGAAAGCAATGGACCAGTTTATGGTCGCATTTATAGATATGTAGATTAGACGGAGCGGTATAGTTGGTTATTATAACTTTGAATATTATGCAATAAACAGAGAAAAATTACTATCATTGTGTGAAAATTTACGTTGGAAAGACGATGAAGATGTTATGTACGATTCGAAGACGATATGAGCCAGAGTGGCCTAATAACAAAATACACGATTTTCAATGAAGAATTATGATTGACGTTTTTCGATCACTGTGGTCTTGTAGATAACCATTTTTAGACTATGAAAATATAAATAACTCAAATCATAAAATTGCAGTAAAGCTACTTTGGCTCTAGCGGCCATATATTATTAAGCTATTTCTTAGCTACCATGCAGGGGAGTTTAAACACAGCACTACGGAGCTTAGAAACGTAAATATTTTGTTCTGCAATATTTTGTTATAATAGAACAATGTAATAATCATCAACCCTTTGGCAGTCCCACAACTGGGACCAAGCGGGTAGACTTAATTTTTAGGCTTATGTGTCCAAATATAGATAGAGTTTTGGCGACTACTACGAGTAACACAGCTCTTGTTACAGTGATTTATCTAGGTTTTGTATAATTATAAAGTGCTATATTCTATATAACATAGTACCATAACTGTAGGATAAAACCAGGTAAACATATTAATCTCTGTTAGCCACGTCAAACTAATAAGGCTATGGACAGACAATCTACTCCGATCTCTATGTATGGTAATGCAAGTAATTACACGTTGACACAATTTCCTATGTACGCAACTCATTTGTAGCAAAAATAAGCATTGGAGGATAAAAACTAATATTAGCTAAAGGTGTGTCGCTTAGTTTCTAATACTGACACATTCAGAAGTAAAAATGACAGCTGTCAGAAGTCAATGTGACAATTGACATCACCTACTCCTAAAAAACGGAATCTGGGTATTTTGTATTTAGATTGTAACGACAAAAAATGAATTTTGAATGATTAAAACAACTAAATCTCTCCCTCCCTACCTATATAACATGCATTTCATTACTTGAGGGTAGGTGAGATAGCCCAGCCGGTAGCATCTAAGCAAGACGCCCTGTCGACCTATTTCGGATTTATATACTCAGAGAAAATGATTATGAGCTAAGAATTTATCTATCTAGGAATCTAAGAATAAGTTTGAACTCACCAGTAGGACAGTCACATTCGTATCTCAGCTGATCCAGAGGCGTACATCTGCCACCATGAAGACAGGGAGACGGCTCGCAAGGCACATATTCGGCATCACAGTCTCTGCCCGTATACCCAGGCTCACAAACGCAGGTATAGGACCCGTGGGTGTTAAAACATCGGCCGTGGTGACAGGGTCCGGGCCCGCTAGAGCATTCAACCACGTCCTCTGTGCATCTGGCTCCGGTAAATCCTGGTGGGCAAACGCAGGAGTACCCAGCAGCTGTGGTGTTGTCTGCGACGCATCGGCCTCCGTTGCGACATGGTTGTGACGCGCAGTGGTCCTCGTGGGAGCACTCTTCGCCTGAAACGGGATGTTAATTAGAAATTGAAAAATTATTCTAGTTCTCTTATACATACGCAAATTAAAAATCAGTTAAATTTTTGTAAAAGACAAGAAGATACGGCAAATGACGTATTTTTTTATAAAGGACGAGAATTTAACGTCGGGTCGTAGTAAAAATTATATATATCATTATAGATACGTTATTCAATATATTTTGCGTTTCAAACCGTTCAAATTACTAAGGTACTTATTGCGTAAACTACAGCCAATACTTAACATGTTGTAAACATTGTTGGGTGGCATATATTTTTTGTTTTGCTTGGGTTTAAATTTCTTCGCCCCAATCAATAAGCAAGAGAATCAGTTCGACTCCAATGTTAATATTTACACTAATAGATTTATGTAACTAGATAACAAAATAGAGAAGTTATATTTGATATTAAATTTCAGTAGTTAAAACAGCCGTGTACACACAGGAGAATACAAATTCTGGTCACAATTAATGGAATTGTGATTGATATCAATGCCCGCGGACCAAATTCGTCATCATTAAATTGGTTTGCCTGGCTGAGTAATCAGACAAATATGGGGCACAGAGTGAAGATTCAGTAGGGCCAAATCAGAGATGGTAAGTTTCGTAAAAACGTTGGTTACAACTGTGTAATAAAGATTACATGCTTAAAAGAGCCCCCTAGTGATTTCTTCTAAAAAAATATCGTCTAAGCTGTACTTTAAGCTTGATACATTATCTTTATCACAAATGACTCCCAACTGTTCCAATCTCACTGTGCTCACTTGAACAAGCTCAATTAGTGTCGGTCGCAGCTTCAATGTTTGTGCAAGAACCAAGTGTCTGATCGCATTAATTGATAAGCAAATATATTAGCTTTGATGGCACGCGGTATGCAACCGAAGAGTGAAAACACGTTATGACCTTAATTTTTTGGTGTTCACTTAACCAAACGACAAGTAAGACAAACTAAGATGAATCTGCGTCTGTGTTAGACGCTTTTTTTATATATAAAGTAGTGACCCGCCCCGCCTTTGCTTTCGTGAACAAGTTTTCTTGATTAGGGACATGTTGAACCTGGTGAGGATCAAACCCAAGACCTGATTATTAGCCATCATTGCTACCATTACAAATTCCTACATATTAATAATGTATGTAAGTTAATTTTACAAAATCCTTATCCACATTAAATAATCTACCAAGGTTTTACCGCTATTAAGTAATTGTATGTACAATAGTTAAGCTCCTTTACGAACGCCTTCATTATAATAAAATTGTAATTGGGTAGTTAAATAAATAATTTTTAAATCGAACAGTAAAACAATTAGACATAGTGGTTTCTGTATATGGGAACTTTTAATATATTACCAAAAAATATGTTTAAATATTTTTTAATACGACGTACATTAATTACAATCAATTAAGATAGCGATCTCGATAACTTAAAATGACAGCGTACGAAAGAGTATAAACGAGCAGTCTTGTCTTTACGATCGAGTTGCAAAACGGCCGAAAACACACATTCGAGATAAAATTGGAAAGTTGAGAAATGATTACGCTCGATACAATAATTGCTCGCATCGAGGACGAGAAATCAAACGACACAATTCTTTAATTGTTCTAACTGCGCAATAGATCTTGTACAGTCGACGGCAATAAACCTTTGTTAGCTTTGTATGATAGAGTAAAGACAAGTGCTGGAAAATATATAGCCAAATAGGTTGACAGTTTAGATATTATATATTTGGATGTTTATCTGTTGGTTTACATTTTAACAAGCAACTCTAATACTATCTACCCTCGTCTTATATGAAGAAAACTTTAATATTTTTCACATGTTATTTGCACATGAAGGCACCATATAATTTAAAAATCGAAAGTTTTTTCAATTTATTTTCGATTTTTAAAGAAAATATCTCGCAACATATTTTGGCTTTGCATAGTCACATTCTTTAACAGAAGTTATAAAATTTTATGTCAATTTCAAATTTTAGAAGTGCTGGAGGTTTTATTGGTGCGACTGTACTGATGCAATATGAGAGAACGGATGTAGCTAAAGTAGATAATACACTCGTAGCAGAAAGTTATTGTGTCTCTTTTATTCCCATTCGTTTAGAAAGTGACAAATATATCTGAGTCAATAACAATTATTAGGGTTCGGATAAAGTAAACACTGTGAGAATTTTTATGATATCAATTTTTATGTGCGCATGAGCAACTGAATCATTCGGATCGAGGAATGAGTGTGATCGAAAGTCCGAATTGATCTATAAACCTGGATTAAAGTAAATGAGATCGACTTTAATATTCGAGCTTTGATCTTTGATTACTTTAGTGTATGAATGATCATTAATACAACGGGTTTTGAGATTATACAAAGTTTCAAGTTAATTAAAATAATTAGTTCATTTTCAAGTCTGATGCGAATATACTACTGTACATGTTATTTTAAATACTCATTTATTTTAAAATTCTTAATGACTAAATATCAATTTAGTCATTAAGAATAAACCTAAACAAATTGTATAAAAATGATAAAAATCCATACAAGCAATTAACTATTTCCGCAAATAACTTGCGGCTTAGATAACCACCACCTGTTATAGAATAAGGATCCTATAAGTCATCAGGCATCTCATACGGAGCTTTAATAAACAATCATAATACCAATGAGAATGCTATTATGCTGTCATTTACTAAGATTAATTGAAGCTGGAACGCATCTGAGGGCAAGGGGCACCTATTCTACTGGTTCTAGTATTGAAAAACTCAAATATGTTTAGAGGGACTATATATATAGACAAAACGTTCTTTTAAATTAGAAGACAAGAAATATATGTGTCGGTTTCAGTAAAATATTAGGTTTAGATGATCAGGCGATTTGAAATTCGAACCACAAATTTGATAAACGCAATCAAAAGCTTGTTTTAAAACTTAGTTAAGCAAGGTGGGAGAATTTTCGTTACCCAAAAATGCTTTGTTGGTACGATTTTGTAGTTTAATGCCAACTGGTCTTTATGTAAGAAAAGGAAAAATTTAATTTGAATTTAATAAACAATATTGTGATAAATCTTATCTTATCGTTTTGATTGACTTGCGTTAATTAAAAGTTCCATTTATCTTTGCGATGTGTGAAATATTCCACTGAATTGAAAGTAAAGCAAATTAATGTTTCAATTAAATAATGTAATAAATACAAAAAAGTGACAATATTTAAAATTAAAAGGCGACATTAATTTGTTAATTTATTTAAAACTACGGCTGCTAATGTAAAACGTTAGGTCGTACTTAAAAATAAATGAGCGATTCAAATGGTTGCGATATTGTCTAATACTTAGTAATAATATCTCAACAAAAGTTTTAAAGCCTTATCTTGAACCAATGTCAGAATGTTAGAAATGAGATCAGTTTCTAATCAATATTTACTGTCATGGTGTTGACTCAATAACGATAAATAAAGTTGAATGAAACAATAATATCAATGACCAATATAAGGAAATGTGATTCATCAATTAATATGAGAACAATTTGAAATGACTGTAGCAGTAATATTGATACAATATAATGAAATATTATGAAGGGCATTCATTAATGGGATTGATCTATACTAATATATAAAGCTGAAGAGTTTCGAATTGAAAAATTTTTGTGTTGGTTAGAACATTCATGAAGGAAGGCTATAGTCTATAAAACATCGAACTAATAGAAGCGAAGATACAGCGTGAAAAGTGAACAAAACGGGGGGAATTTTTCATCTCTGTGGGTTTCAGTTGCGTACGCTGCGAAAACGGTTCAAGATAACTAAAAATGTGTATGAAAGAATTATTCCTCTTTAAATAATCTAAAAAAAAGTCCGGGTCGATATGTCAAACCTAATTTGGATGCCCAAATAAACGATTCTCGCGGACGAAGGCGCTAGCACAGCTAGTTAGATAAAAGGCAAGACAGTAACATAATTTCTAAAAGAATAATCTATATATAATCTTTATCTGTTTGTTGAAAAAATATTTTTGTGTTGAATGATCTAACCAACTAACCAAGTAACCAAGCTTCATCGAGAAAGGCTTTAATATAACATCAGCTGCAACCAATACACGCAAAGAAACAGTGAAAATGTAGAAAAAGAACAGAGATAATAATTCATCTTTGAACGCTTCCTGTGCGTGCGCTGCGAAAACGGTTCAAGAAACCAAAAAATAAGTTTAGGAAAAGTGATTCCTCGCTAATTGATCAAAACAATGTCCGCAACAATATATTCATGTTTAAAATCAACAAGAATCGTTTTTAAGGGAATCAAATTATTTGTTAGAGTTTTATCAACATAATAATCTTAATCTTACAAACAACAAAACAACGTTTGCTGAATCAGCTAGTATATAAAATCTCACCTGTGTAACCAGGAGGGCAGTCACATTCATAGCTGTGTAGTGACGTAAGCCTACACGTAGCTCCATTCAAGCAAGGTGCTGAATCACACGCAGCAGGTACGCGGATCTCACATAAGGAAGCGCTGAAGCCCAGGGGACAATCGCAGGCAAAGGACGGCGGACCACCGCTGGCCCCTGGCCTGACCCTGCAAGAGCCACCGTTCTGACATCGCGGACTCGACTCGCTATGACAAGGGTTCAGGTGTTGGCAGAATTCACCGGCGTATCTTGACGTGCAACTGGAACAAAGAAATTCATGTTGTAGAGAACTAGCAATTTGAGTAGGTTATAAATATGAAGTAAAAATTATGGGTTGAACTATGAAAAATAATTGTCTATCATTAAAATAGTTTGTGTCAGTCTGAAAATCTTTTAAATAAAACACTTTGAAACATAACAATTAGAACAAATACGGATATTACACCCATGCAACATACACATATACATACCTACACACCAACACAATTACACTCTTATATATATATAATAAAAACGCAGAGGCTTTTCTAAGTTGTAACTTTAGGTACTAAGTTCTTTTTTATATTGTCCAAATAATTTTATAGTGAGCTCGCGGCGAGGGGGGCTGGTGACTTGTATCACAGGTTATTATACCTACAGCAGGCACCAGGCTCTCACAACGTGATACATGTAAAATTAGTTACTTGTAAGTTTATTGAAACACTGTAAAGCTGTGAGTGCTAAATAAATAAAATAAATTATTATTATTAAATTATTACTTTAACGGTTTAAAACGCGATACATATTACATAATCTTATTGTGTCTCCCCGTGAACACGGCTGCATCCGAAACGTTGGGCCGTCATTAAAATAATCCCCAAATACATTGAACTAACATATATCGCGTTTTTGACCGTTAACGTGTTTTACGCGAGTACACATTTAATGTAGAAAAGTTAAAATAGTTAATTTACAGTAGAGTATTAGAGTTAAAGTAGGACTTTTGTTTCGTGTTTTTCCCCGTTTTGCTTCACATACAGATCTATGTGTAGATCAGTTCGTTCTTTTAATACAATAGCATAAGCTATCGGGGTCTGTGAAAAATTCTTCAGCAATCTACTTCGGATCATTAAGAAGAGATTATTCTAAAGAAAAGCAGCAATATACTGCATAATGCAATTTAATCGGAGCCCTTATTAAACGCTCGCTACCACACAATGTACTAGCTGTACGAGGTAGGCGAACACTATCGTGGCCGGACGTCGCCAATAAATAACGCAGATACGTACAACACGACCATGTGACATGCGCCCGCGCACCTTTGTATTGCTTTGCTGAGATTTTTACGTCCTTATTTATGGGACAGGTAATTAAAGTTTGTGATACCATGGTCACTGGAGATGTACCAAGCAGTTATATATTAAATTATAAACAATATTTACGGGTCTAATGATAGCAATGTAATGTCCAACATTCTAATTTTTTTGAAACGTGTTGAACTTCGTTTGGTAATCTGAATATTGAATGGGCGGTAGTAATATCGTAATGCCATCCAGGTTACGTACGTCCACAGATGAAAAAGCCATGAAGTTAATTCTTATTTTACAACATTAAAATTTATCTAATATGTCATTTATGTCTGGTAATATTTTTTCTGGCAACATCTGCGTACGATTGCGACATTTGAAAAGATCAGCAGATCCTTGCGATCCTTTAAACTTATGACGGTACTTGACAAAGCCAGTACGAAAAGGAATAACATCAGTGAAATATAAATCGTATACATCTTCAAATTTATCACTGTTTCATATGTCAGTCAAGATATATATACATCTGTCCCTTTTTGACGTTATGTGAATGGATGCGACGGACGCTCGACGTGTTTTGAAACGAGACAAACGTTGATATTTTCGTTTCGTGTCTGTTAATAACCGTCTCGTGTTTCCGATGTTACATATCTCATCGTACTTAGAATCATATTTGCGATGTGAGTTGTATTTTGCATTGTTATCATAATAAAATTTATGGTTAAGTAAGCTGTTTTCATTTTTTAAGGCGATTGAGAGGAGGGGGGATGTTGGTCAGTAATTGTCTTATTTTTTTTGTTTCACAAGGGTGGAAAGAAGTGTTGATAGTGCGTCCATCTTAAATGCGCGATTTATTATTATTGATATATTGGTTTTGAGGCCCTGGACTGGATATTATGTAGATAGATGAAATCCAAAGTTAGCATTACTAAGTAATAAAAAAAATAACTTCTTAACATCCTTACATAATAAATATTTAACGACGTAAAGGGTTCGGCCTATTCTCTTATTATTATTTTTCTCTCATAATAGGGATAGAGAGAAAGGGGGTTCAAAAACTAACGAAAAAATTCATGGCCTATAGCATTTGGGCTTTTTTGTTTCGTCTTGTCTATTCCAGCCTCGTGACTTATATAACATCTACGTCCACATAACCATAAATCATCATTATAAAGATAGTCAAATCAATTAAATCAATACTGCGGTTCAACGATAAAATTTTAAGCGTGTATTAAAATATTTAAGGTGTATCAAATAGCCAGGCGTCTCCCAATCAACTTGCGTTAATTACCTTGTAAATGTTTTTCTCTTAATACCATTAACGAAATGTTTAAACGCCCGATTCTCATCCTACACGACATTTTGAAAGATATTTCCTTTGCATTTGAGATAGTTTAATCTTGTATGGAATTAATCATAATGGAATGTTTAAAATGGAAAAGAGAGGACCATATTTGTATATATTTGCGCGAAGATGATTGTCTCGAATAATTTGTCTTAAAAAGTTGCATTATTAAGACTATTGTTAAGGAAACAGGTATCTATACTGGGTGTGTGTTGCAATAAACAAAAACTTTAATGCAATTTTTTTGTGGAATGATTTTTTTTTTCGTTTTTTATGGGTCAAGTACTTCCATTTTGGAGTATATAATTAGATTTTTTTATATTTATGATAGGGTAGAATGATATTTTAAAGTGCATTGCCTGTTTTTTGTTATAAGCAATGACTCTAATTCAGTACAATTTGCAACAAAGGAAACGGAATGGAATTTTAATTGTTTGTGTAATTCTCATGAAAATATGACCTTTATGTTAGAGTTAATTTTCCTTTATACGAAGTCACTAAGTTATTTAGAAACTGGGAATAACGATCCTGTTCTAGATTTAAATTCTTTTAATTATAAAAAAATATAATAAAGCCGCGTTATCAACACCATTCCACAATCATCTCGCGTCCGCTCTCTGCGTTTAACATCAGCGAAATTCAAAACACAATGGTAGCACTTAAGTTCCAAGAAATGCAGACAAAACCTTTCCAAGATTCAGCTCGGAACCTGTATTTTGAGGCGTGGGCGGCTCACGATCACACCCACACTTTGACCTCGCCTTGAGGGTGCTTGCACTGTGCGTTATGCCTATAATATACCCCCGGGTATCGCTTATCGTAATAGATTTCGATAATATTGATTAGACATCAAATAACGAGAAGATGCAATCTAAGAAAATTACTGCTAGAGGCTGCCTGAATGGTCCAGTGTTTAGTGTACTTGGCTACAAACCAGGAGGTTTTTAAAACCACCCGAGTTAAAACTAGAAGGCGTCATGACCCTTAACACGTTAAGCCGTTTGTCTCGTCTACCAACCCACATTGGTGCAGGGTGGTGGGTCTGACCTTAAATGCGGAGTGACCAGCCGAGTGAATTGTTTTGTTTTTAATTCGATGCATTGCGGTATAGTATACTTATTATCGTTAAATGTAGATATTAAATAATCTATAGATCCGACCTCTTATTGTCTGTAGACCTCCTTTTTAACTAGATCAATGATAGAACAGATTTATAGTCTGTGCCATAATGAAGATTTAGCGCTCGTTATCCACAGTAACAAAAGCTCGGTTATTTTAAAAGATAATCGGCTCCCAGGTAGCCGGTGTCATCTTTTTGCACCGTCGCCGTGTAATTATAGTGCTCTTTTATTTGTGATATGATTGCAGGAATAATATTCAATTAACATTCTATTTATTGTTCTCGTGTCATTTATGTCATTAAGAATTGGCGGTAAAAGTGACAATTGACATCGACAATATTATTATGTTAATTGCCAATCAAACGTCAAGTTTCACCTTAAATGGTAGATAAAAAATATTCAACCATTTAAGATTTAGCAAAATAACCACAGATAATGTAGAAATTAATGACGTTTAACCAAGGTTCTACTTATGCTTAACTAAATTGTTTGTCTCCTGTTGTAGGCCGAGCAATAATTTATTTGGTCAGGCAGGAGATCCCATGTCGTGGCGAGCGAACGCAATAAATAAATACAGCTTGGTTATTCGATATTGGTTGGTGAACTTTTGATGCTACATAGTTTGGTCTAGGCAAACCTTGTTCGACATCAGCCTAGGTCTTGGGTCATGGGGTCTTATATAAATTCTAGCCATAGATTTTGACAACCTTATACTGGAATAATTATACCAATTCACAAATTAAGGAAATCACAATAGATCAATAATTTATATATGATTCACTTTCAATAACATATGTATCTTTAACTAAAAAATAAAGCTTGCTAATTATCCTATTTATAAATAACTGTTACCAAATTCAAGGCTAAAACTTAGATAAAATTTAAGCAAAAAGCTCAACATTAGAGGAAAAATGGAAAGATGACGTTACATTGCAAATATACGTCGTCGCTTCTCGGAACGAGCATGTCGCTATCTGATACCCGCACGCATGCTAGTATGCGCTTGCGCAGCCGGGATTATCGCGATAGCAGCTTAATTGTTTAATTAATATGTTAAATTATTACTTCTGCACTTGAAATTGAGAACTACTAAGAATAATGTGCAACCATTATGTTTACTTTTGTCAACATCGCTATTGTAATCTTACACGTTGCTGACAATTGTAATGTTGTCACACATTGATAATGCATGAGTAAACAAGTACGAAATATCTATATCTTATGATTCAAGTGTAACATCGGTCTTTTTATTTTTATACGTAAATTAATTATTTATAAATGTCTAAGTATACAATATAGACAAAATGAGACAGGTAGCTTAAACTTATATTTAACTTAATACTGATCATAACATTTAGCAGAATTTAAATACAGAACAAAGTAACAGTTTAATTAAACAAAACAATTTTGGTATGATTAAACAGATTATGGTTGCCAACAAAGGCATATATAAAAATACTATACTTTTTTTTAATGTCAAAGTCGATATACTTATAATATTTATTACC